AGGAATATACGGCCGTAGGGAGAGTGTCTTATATGTTTCTCCAGGTCGTTTCCAAGCTCCGCTCGAGTCAGACTTATCTTTCGTTAGGATCCTATCAGAGTTCAATCAGCGAGGGCGTATCGCTCCTCGGTTCTAATCTATCATCAGAGGGTGATAATCATTGCCATGATGGGGGTGGGCGCGTCCCGTTATCTTTTTGTTTGACTAAAGTCTACGGTCGGCGGATCTAGAGGATCTTGCGGGCTTGCAGGAGTTTCCGAAAGGTTCGTCTCGTGATAGTTTAAGCGTCTTTCCGGACGATCAGGGGGAAGGTAAGGGCCATGAGGCTTGCAGGAGTTTCTCTGGGGATTCCCTCGTCTTCATCGTCTTCTTGATCTTTTTGTTAAGTCGATCGTCGAAGGGTGGTCTAGTTTAAGCGTCGTTTCGGACGTACGGTGTCTTAACCTTTTGTTAATTGCTTTATGCGAGGTCGAGGACAGGGGGTATCCAAGCATAGGGGGCCGGAGGGTGTCCGGGGTCGTCCAGCGAGGAAAGTAGTTTAATGTCGTTTCAGACAATCTTAGTTTAATGTCTTTCCGGACAATCGCGCAGTTTATAGTCGTGCTGGACTCAGACCTAGTTTATAGTCGTAGCGGACTTGGGTCTAGTTTAGCGTCATAGTGGACGTGTCGGCGAATTCGAAAGGGGTAGAGACCTATTAGATAGAAAAAGGTGTAGAAAAGGTAAAAGTAATTATAAATTTACCCCGTCACTAGGACGTTGATCTACCACGATTAACGAAATTAAAAGTCCAATTCGAGTTCTCCGCAGTCAGGGTCGTCAGAAGGAGAGGCGAAAATGAAATCGCCGATCGTCCGAATATATGAGGATCCGGGGTTGTCTTCTTCGTCAGAATCGGAGTCGGACTCATTAGAGTCCTCATCAACCAATAAGGTTGGGTCAGGGAGCGCGGGGGGCGTCAGAAGACGCGCATTCAAGCGCTGGATCACCATGTCGAAATATTCTTTGACTGGGTTCTGGTTGGGGTCAACCGATGACATTTGTACGTCGGTTGCTGGGGGTGTCGCGGGGCTTACAGCATGGCCCGGTTCAGTGTCTTCGCTATCGGACATAGGCATGTCCTGGCGACAGAGAGGGACGGTTTCTTCGTTATCGAACCGGAGTTTCTTGGCTGCCGGTCGATCTTCCGTGAAAACGGCTCTTCCTTTTCCGAGAACAGATACAGGCTCTCCGGAAAACATAAACTTCGTCTGAGTTTTCTCTGGTTCAGGGGCCAGTCTAGGGTGCTTGGCAGGGGGTGGTTCTGCGGTAGCGATAGCGCGTCCTTTGCCAAGGACAGACGCGGGTTCTGCCGAGAATGTTAATTTCGGCTCAGAGGCGACGGAAGGCCTCTTCTTTTCATTAAGAGTCGGGAAGGGATTCTTCGGGACTGATGGGGGCGCCAAAGACGTAGAAGTCTTGGCGGTTTGGCTCCTCACAGCTTCTTCGGGCTGTGGTGCGGTTTGCTGCGGCTGAGAGGTTGCGGCAGTCTGGGGTGTGGGTCCTTCTTCGGGGATTTCCACAATCGTGGCATAGGGCATGGCAGCCGGTGCCGGTGCTAGTTTATACTCTTTACGGAGTTTCTTCTTCGTCTGAGAGCGGTCAGCGACTCGCTTATCTTTCTTCTGGAAGAGGGGCGTCAGGCCGTTCTTCTTCCGTTCGGCATCTATATCCCGTTCCATGTCTCTGGATTCGGGAGTGGCGGTGAGGGTCAGGGTGGACGCCGTCCAATCTATGCTAGGGTTGTTGGCGATTAGCCATGGTTGCCCAAGCAGGAATTTATCTGAGTATGATAACTCAGCGAGGTAAAACCTAACAGGCGTTACTCGTTCATCGATCTTGACCGTGAGGGTGCAATATCGGGAGATAGGCCCTCCGGCCGTAGTAGATCCGTCCGCATTAGTTACCATGATTGGTTTCTTCAGCGGGTGCGAGGAGATGCGGTGCTTCTTGCAGTAATCCTTATGGATGAAGGATCGGCAGGCACCCGAGTCAACGACCATAGAAGTCGTTATCGGTGCTTCTCTTCGATCTGAAATCAAGGTTACTGGAACCCGGAATTCGCGTTTCTTCCCGATGGTCTTGATTGACCTAATCGGGTCTTCATCGACAATCTTTCTCCTATCTCGGCAGAGATTGTCACTGGCACGGTGGCCGGTCGCGTTGCAGTTGAAGCATCGCCTGCTGTTAAGGCGGATGCGGATTTCTTTCCCTTTGAGATGGGAGGCCGCGGCGATCTTCGTGCGTGTGGATGAGGGTCGGGCTTCATTCTTTTCTCGCCTGGCCAAGGCGGTCTTCGATTGATTCTTTTCTCGCCATATCACGGCGGTCTTCATCGTCAGCGCCTTCTTCGGGGACACTACGTGTGTACGGCGCTCTTCTTCGGGAGTCATCCGTGAGGAGGATGCGATATTGTTGGCGTAAGGCATTTCCTATCATACAATGCTGGTCGAGGCAAGGTGCGTATCTGGGTGTGCGTCGCGTAGATAGGCGACGATCAGATAGACTTTAATCTTTTGTTACGTCGACTGTAGGTCGGCGTGTGCGAACTAGGATAGTTCTTCTCAGCGACGAGTCGAGTGACTCTACTGAAGCTGAGCGTGGTCTGACTTTGACGGAACGTCAAAGGTTCCTCCGGCGATCTCGGTAAGACGGCGCTCGTCGAGATGCAGGGCTAGCGGATACGTGCAGAGTTGTACGGGGACGACTCTGAAGTGCGGTCTCACACAAGGAAGCTTTGTTAGAGCTAAGATGAGCAAGTTCTTGGTAGAACCTAGTAGATTAAAGTGAAGTTCAATCTACAACAATGTGCCTACTTATACATAGTGTATGTAGGTGTTCAAGCTCAGTCTGTAATCTATAGTATATCGGTAATCTAAGATAACCAGACATGAGGAGAGATAGTATACATGAGGCTTAACCTCTGATCATACATGCAGCGCCAAGTGCAGCTGCGCATAGGTACAGGAAGCGCCAAGCGCTCCGGGTCTTCATACATGAGGCGCCTAGGGCGCTCTGGATCTTCATGAAGCGACATGCTGTATACATGCGCTGATCTAGGGTGTCCATGAGGCGTACAGCCTCCATGGAACAGGTACAAGGCCGTCTAGGCCAGGGGCGGGGTCATAGCGTCAGGCGGGGTCATAGCGCCATGAGGCGGGGTCATAGCGGTCCAGACCGCTGTCTGTCTAGGCGCAGGCGGCGCACCGCCGCGCGGGGAGTCTAGCAGAGCGGGGGCAGGCGTAGGGAGAGCTGGGGCTCTAGTAGGTGTTACAGATCCCTGTAACAGATAGCAAATAACTTCTCTCTATATGCCTCTCACTTCAAACATTACTATTTGGAAGTGGTGGGGAAAGAACTCAAAGTGTTTCCTACTGATCATTAAGAACCTGATGTATTGTGAGATCCAACCACTCACCAATATTGACCTTCAAGTTCAAGTTCTATATAATCATAATCAAGCTTAGGTACAAGTACAAACAATAGTGTAAAGGAAATATACTCTTATGGCCCTATTTACTTGGGTTGATATACTCTCAAAAGAGAAGAATGTCATTCAAGTCTTCTAGCCAGGCAATGGTGTGACAGTTAGGGATCACATAGTAATATTGAAATTGTTGTTCTCCTAAGAACAAAGCCGGCTGAACCAGATCCAGCTGTCTTCTTTCACCAAGGCTTGTAATGCATTAGTTTTCAAGTTGAGTTTTTGATATTGCCTAAAATATAGTAATATCCTGAATACTGCAGGGCTTAAATGCACACTATGACTGAACATACCAACATAGGTTTTCTAACTTGCAAACTTGCAAGAAGGTGTTGTGCTACAAAGAGTTTTGATATGATTAAGTGATGATGATGGTAAGATAGGGCTCTTGCATAACCAACCAATCTGTGACACCTTGTGATGCATTATGACATGATGTGACCCAAAAGAATGACTCAGAGTATAGTCATACATGGTGAGTAATCAACTATGCAATGAAGTTGTTTCTAACTCAGATTAATGAACTGGGAGATAGTTATATATGTTATATACAATATATTATATGAAATGATTAGTGAAGGATACTTTATAGTCCTGCTTTCTTGAGCTCAGTGAAGATAGAGTAAAAGAGGACTCGATGACCTCTGTATTTCTTGCTTACCCATGCTGCTTGTTCGCCTATTAGGTCCTTTCTATAAGTGTCCATGAATCTCCAAGGACAGCATGCATATTTATATTTTCAGGTGAGATAAAACAATCAAATAAAAAAAGAAGCTTACTTTTGCATTTGCTCTATAGTCACAGACTCCAGCACATCAACAAAGTTCTTCACCAGATCTTCCTCACTAGCTGAGGGTGTCATTTGACAGTATAATCACTTTGCATGTCCCCAGCACTGCTCAATAAAGTTTAGCTTGCAGTAAAACTTTGGAAGGAACAGTACCAAGATTCTATATGATTCAGCAACAAGCTCAAGTGTAGATTTGACATTCACAAAGTCAGGTTCATTGTACACCATCTATTAACAGTAGCAATGCTCAACACCAAACTTACATGCAAAATTTGGCTTACATTCTGCATGAATATCTGCCATATTACCATAGCCATGCTTCTCCAGAATTTTTGCCATGCCCTTGAAGATACCTGCATGTGGATGACCTTCAGAGAAATAGAATGACTACAGGGAACTATCCTCAAAGATGCCATCAGCCATGCAAATTTTTGTCTTCATAGGCTTCTTTATTAGCACCATAAATAATCTTACCTTCTAAATTCCTTGCTATCACCTCAACACCCCAGTTTGTCTGAATTTTAGGTGTTTCTTTAGATATTTTTCATGCAGAGAGAGAGCCATTAGGGCACTTAAGATGAGTCGTTGTATTATTAAAGATGAATATATGATTTTTATTGGGCCAGTTCTTCTGATTTCTTCATTTGAAAAATAACTATCGCGTGATTTTTCTGCCTTAAACAATACTCATGCTGGCTCTTTTCCATCAGGTGATTGCAACCAGCCATGATCTGCTGACATGAAGTCAGTAACCATCAGAGAAGCCTCTTCCTGTTAGAGTCATGCTTGGAGGATTAACTGGATCTGAAAGGGCTTTGGCCTCAGCTTGTGTGCTGTGCCCCTTACCCAAGTATATGCCCTTTAATTTCAGATGAAGTCCGAAGGGGAGTTCTGGTGAAGTCCAGAGACAAACTCCAGACAAACTCTTAGGCTGGATTGCTCAATAGAGCACCAACAGATTTCCAGATGAGTGTGGGAAAGCACACTGGAACTACTTCCGGAGTGAGGGGAATCATGGTAAGACTACTGGAACAAGTTCCAAGTAGGATGGATGAAGAAGTTGACCACTGGATGAAGTCTAAGGCAGAATAGGAGTAAGCTCCAAAGAGGAAGGAGATCCACAGGAGTCGGAGGACATGATAGGATAGGTCTGAAGGAACAGAGGTCCGAAGGTAGGAGGAGCAGAGTAGCAGATGATTGGACAAGTGGATAAGATGGATGGACGGATGGATGGATGGAGAAGCGGAGCTCTGTGTATCTAAGGGGTAGTGTGAACTACTATAGTAGAGTAGGTCTGGAGGTTGTGCAAGGATAGTGTAGACTACTCTGGACAAGATCCGGAATAGAAACAAACAGGATAAGACTACCATAGGTAGAGTCGGAGCCAAAATGGAACAAAGACTAGAATCAGATGAAGTCTGAAAATGATTAGAGGACGAAGGATCAAGGCTCCGGACTAGAGAATGATCTCATAGCCCAGAGCCAGAGGCTTACAAGGGCTGAAGCACGAGTATAAGAACAGAAACAGAATTATATAGACAGGAGGTAAGGAAGATACAGGATAATAAGTAACAGGATAAACAGAAACAAAAGCAATAATCAGACTAAGGTCTGCAGGAGTTGTACTACTAGTTTATATACTGTAGGTAGCATAACAGAAGATCAGTAAGCATAGTACAAGGCTATGTATGTATGTACACATGGAAACACATTAGTAAGTACAACGGAACATAGGTATGATGAACCCGGAGATAAAACTTATATAGAATACATTATCAAGATGGAAGCAGAGATAACCAAGAGCCGGAGACACAGGTATATCCTAAATGGGGTAATGTGCAGGTGCATGGGAATAGTTTCAGATAGGACCATGAACGAGATCCGAAGGTCCAAAAGCCAGGGGTTCGGATAGGATAGGACATGGATGAGGTTCGGATGAGGGTTGGATGCAGATTGGATGGAGTATGGATTGGATGTGTGAACTGGATTGGGTGGAGATTATATGGATATGTCTGGATATATGAGGATTTGGACAAGATATCATAGTGGAAGTAGGGTGTAGAATCTGGTATATGACACTTCCCCTTTTGTGTATGGAGTAGCACTTATGTTTTTGTGCACCCATTTTGACTTCCTCTGATCATTGACATAGAACATGCTTTCATCATGGAATCAGACACACAGAGGCCACTTGGTGTTGCAGATCTCTTCATTGTCCTTTCCCCATGCACACATTTTTGCTTCTTCCTCTGCTCATTTCTTCAGGAAAACATGCTGATGATAATAGACAACATCTTTGTGCTCGTGACCATCAATATATTAACTATGGTGGTCCCGAACCCAACAGTAGTCCATACACTTCATCCAGCACTTTGCTGTTGCTAGGGAGATTGTTTTTTTTTATCTTCAGACATGTTTTGACTTCCTCATTATCCAGATATGTAACAATGTCTTTTGCACATACATAAGTGCTAATGGATTGAAGGTGCTCATGGATCTCATTAGCAATGTCAGAATTATCGAGTCATGATGATCCCCATCTCTGACCAAATGGATTGACAGGGACATTATTGTGATCCTACACATATGCTTTGGTTGCCTCTCGAAGTTCTTGCGCCCACCAACTCGACTTTTCTTTCCCATCTACCATCAACAATGAGGCAGCCATCTAAGCCTGGTATCCAGGAGAGGAGGAGTTTGTATAATGGATGAGAAATGATGCTATTAATTCAAATCGTAGTTTTGTCCAGTTTTCCATCTTAGCATCCTTAAAGCCACGGACAGTGTTTCGTGGTGGCTCAGGATGGTTTGAATATCTTTGAGTGTACTCACAGCTTCAGAGACTCCAGGTGGCTTCCAGAGTTCCCATGCAAGTCCTGTGCCCTCAGGACACATACTGAGCTCTGCATTTGCCTCAAGTGGAGGCTCATCCTCGAAAATGTCCTCATCCACTTTCTTGACATCTTCATCACCATCAATTTCCAGTTCAGCCTGCTCAGGTGACTCATTTTCATCATTAACTCCTGTCTTGTCATGATCACAATCAGCTGTAGTAAAAATTTTCTTAATGGTTCCACCAGAAATTGCTGAAAGTGACTCTCACATCTCGATAATCTTGACAGCATCAAAGATTAATTCTATATTCAGCAAGAACAGAATATTGACTATGTCTATGGAAGGTGAAGTGTTCAACAAGTCCTGCACTGGTGGTCCTGGGCTGAAAGAAAGTGTGACTCCAAGAATTTTTTCATCTTTGTTAGTGGGGGAGTCAATGTCCACAGGCTGACAAGGATGTTAGACATGGAAAACGAGTGCTTTCAAGTTTAAAACTTGCCTGCACATTTTTCTTCTTTTTTGCTTGTGCCTGCTTGAGCCTGGTTCTCTTTGTGTTCCTTGTAGCATATTTACTGAGATTCTTCAAGTTACCTAGCACACACTTTAGCATTGTGCAGCGGTAGTCTGAGGATGCAGATGTGGAGGTTACAGTGAAGGTTTATTTTTTTTGTAGTGTTACTTCCTAATTGTCACACACAAAGATGTCCTTTCTGAGCCCATAAGACTCATTTTGCTAATGGCACTTGCAATTCTCAATTTTTGAAAAATCAAGCCCCACAGAGTTATTCTAAATACAAATATAAAGAAGACTATAGAATTTTTTTATACCAAAAAGTCAATTTTACAATGGCCATTAGCTGTACACTCCAAAGTCATACAAAAGTTACTCATGGTCATGTGATGTTGGTTGGTTGTACAAGAGCCCTATCTTAGTACAAAATATATATATAATTATATAATTCAATAAATTGCACACTGTTTGTAGTGAATGAGTATGCAGTACAAATAAGCACAACTAATTAATTACTATCTCAATCATGATCCTCTGAATCAAATATAGAATTCTCTCTATTTGGAATCAGTATGAAGTTCACCCTAGTTCACCTGCAAGGAACCATAATATTGTTGTACACCAATTATGTAGCAATATCAAACAGAATTTAGACTACCCCTATTTGATACTGTACTTTGCTGTACTATCATCAGTATGGCTGCACTCTACACTAGGATATAGATACATTGATGCATGGTATAGTACATTTTAATAGTACTACTGTTGTATAGTTATTATGAAATTATATGTGCTATGCAAAAAAAAAGATGTATAGCACTATAACATGTGTGGTAGATTAGAAAAGTGCTACTAGTGCTGCTAGTAGTAGATGATGCTTTAATGCACAGTGGCATAGAGTATCATAATCTGGACATTCCTAGTAGTGTGTAGCAAGTCTATTAATTCATCTCTAGTATACATTAGTATTGTTTTGAGTGATCCAATAAAGCACTTACCTTTTACATCACCAATCTCAAGCATTGGGCCACACAAGCAAAGCTGTCAGTATACAGTTTCTTGATTTGCCCATATAGTGTTTAGCACAGATAACTCAGTGTGGTGGCCACCTCAAGTCCTGAAGTTAGGCTCATATCAGCAACATGGTCTTGAATGCATACTACATCTGCCTCCAACATTTGCAATTGTGTCTGTTGAATATTAGATTGTGTTATACTGCATGCATGTAATATTTACAAGGCTGTCTTAATGTAAGCCCACCACTATCAAAATAATTAAACACAGGGGCATTTTCAATAGCCAGTGCACAAGCTTCTGCCTCAGCTTGGGCCCAGCACAACTTTGCTTATAAGAAAATTAATTCTGACTGAGCATTGCAATGATGAGTATGGTAGCTGTCAATGTCAAGGTATGATGCCATCAGTCCCACAGCAGATTTGACAATGCATCTCAGAGTTACTGAGAATAAGGTGATGTTATGTATAACTGAGATTGGAATAGGACACATTGCTAAATAGCAAACCATCAGACCATTGATTCACTTCTTGGTGTCAAAGTCTCTTATGTATAATCCAATGCTGCTCTAAGTGATGGATGGCCTAGCTGCACAAAGACACTTCCAGCTAACATTAGTCCCTCTTTTCTTCCATGAATTCTTGCTATATAATCACATTCCTCATACAACCCCCAGCAGTATTTTGCAATAACACCTTCTTCTGTGCTTCTAACATCTGCTCCCCAACTATTTGCCAAATATCACCAATATAAAGTCAGCCTTTAAGCAAAAAGTACAGGAGATACATATAATTCAGTGCAGAGCTGTATAGTGAACATTAGTAAGTCCAAGATGTGCAGAAATACACCTTAGTAATATTAACTGACCTTCTCTGTTGGTATGAGTTTTATGAAGAAATCTAACCATCTAGGACTGGGTAGTACATTGGAAAGTTCAAACATGCTGACTTGTGTAGCTGAGGAGTTGAACAACGGAAGACACAAGGGAATCAACATTGTAAATGATAGTTGAGAGTAATGAGAGTAATGAGTTTGTTATATTATCTCATTCCCATTTGTACTGAATTACAGTAGCAATTGAACACTGAAATGATTTCTAACAGCTGGTCATCAAAATTACTTCTTAGCCATTGGAAAATTCCTAATTACTGGCCACATGGCAAGATAGCACTGCCAAGGGTAAAAGTGCATTAAACACTAATAAGACATACTTATTAATGCAAATACATGAAGTGAACTCACTAAGCAATTATTGTCTATGATCTCATTTCAAAGATAGGCTGTTTAGACCATCAATAAAAGACCTCTGATTCTGTAGTTGGTGATAGGTACAGCATCCCCATACCTTCAGAATTATTCACTATTCAAGTATATCTAAGTCAGCACACTCCCAACATTCTGACCGGTGTCTACAGTAAATTGGTTCATCTAAGGGTCTGGACAGCTGCATTTATTTTGTAGTTTGTTTCATAGTTTATTTTGTTTGTAACAATACATACAAACAACCATGACAAGGTCATCACATCATGTACCATATGAAATGCCTCCAGCTAATGAAATCTAGTATTTCCACATACTGTGGATGGCCGCTGCAATGATTGCTCCACTTGTTATGGGTCTTATAATTGCCTACATGACATCATCCCTTGAGAAACAGCCCTACCATACCTCACTCCTCACTAGATATGTATGAGTGCAAGAACTCACCAATGGACATCCTGACTAGATCAAGACTGAGCTCAGAATGAGAAAGTACATTTTCCATACTCTTATATATGAGCTTTGAACTTGTGGGCTACAGAATTCAAATATATTCTGCTTGACAAGCAAGTTTCCATATTTCTATATATATGTATGATAGGGCTTTCAAGCTGTCATATTGCAAAATATTTTCAGCACTCACACACAACCACACAAAAGTATGTTCATATTGCGAAATATTCATTATCTCACATGTTATCAAATATTCCAAGAGAGTCCTGCTTGCTCTATCTTTGGCTCCCTTCTACAACAAATTTGTATATCTTTCACAGGATGACACCTATTCCAGCAGAAATATCAGAGAATTCAAAACTCTTTCCATACTTTGAAGGGGCACTTGGAGCTATGGATGGTACACACATTGCATGTTATCCATCTATGGCAGAAAGACAGCTTTCATGAAACCAAAAAGGTTTTGTTAGCCAAAATTGTCTTGCATACTGTTCATTTGATCTTTGGTTCCAGTATGTGAGTGAGCCACTGAAAGAGCGATACATTGCACTGCCAAACAGCCAAAGGTGCAATGAAGCATGAAAGCACATTGTCGAGCCGAAGGATATATATGAGTGTTTTGCGGATGCGAAAGTGATGCGATGCGGCAGTGAAATGGGAGGAGTGTTTGATGGTAGGTGCGAACATTAGCGCGGCCATTAGAGAAGTGCACGCAAGAGTAGGCCGAAGGCTTAGATTTTCAGTTAAGTGCTGCATGAAAACAGATGATAATTTCAATAGGGTGTAAAAGAATGATACATGAAAAGTCATAAGTACTAAGTATATATGATAGCATGCTGAAGTGCTGTTTGGAGCCGAGTAGGTAGCAGTAATATGTAACAAGGGTCCATAACGCAAGTAATGAAAATATAAACAATATAGCTTCAGAGATATGGTCAGTCTAATGCAAATGAAATTAAATACGCACCAATGGACAAGTGGAGGACATGGATAGGACGGAGGAAGGATGCACAACAGAGCTGAAGAAAAGCAGATGCAAGCCAATGTACGCACGTGAATCACAGCCGTCAGCCAATTGCGGAAAGGATGCGTGCCATGCAAGTGGTAGTGTGCACAGTGTGAGGGCCTAAGGGATGCTGAAAAAATAGCCTCTATGAGGCTACAAGGACTCCAAGTCCTACACTGGGAGGTTGCTTCATTGGTCCAGTGAGTGGCTGAACCTACACTCGCAGTGTTGTTGACATGCGCTGTAGTACTCTTCCATTTCGCCATTGGCAAGGAGTGGTGTGGATGTTGTAGCAGTTGGGTTTGACAGGGACAGGTGCCAGGGGTCCTGGAGAGGTGTTCAAGGTCATAGGTAGCACATATATAGCTCATGTCTTAGGGTTAGGTCATACATCTCTTCCACCAGCATTGGCTGTGTGTTTGCTTGTCTGAGGCTTAGCTTAGCTTTGGCTTTGGCTATTTGCTACCTTGGGCACTGAAAGCTAGACAAATCCTAAGTATGAATCTCACACACAAAATTAAGACTTGCCTTTTCGAAGGCTGCCTTCAGAGCAATTTTGAGCAATTCAAAGATATTGTCGGAGTCAGGGCCAAGTATACACTCAAACAGTAGGGTCTTTTTGTCAGCGGACCAACAAGTAGTTTGCATCACCTCATCCACAGGATCACCACCATCTTCAAGATTGACATCAGGTGGGAAGATATTCTCATCTGCCTTTGTGTTTGTCTGCATGGCCTTGGTTGTGGATCCACGAGGCTTCTTCACAGATCATAATTTTGGAATGTTTGTGCCTGCACGAGCATGTTTCGCACTAACTTTGGTAGGCATAGGTGTTCTGGGCTCAGGACGTACTAATGGCAATGACAAGAGCGCCGTTTGAGCCTCTCCACCCCATCCTAAGTTGAAATTAGTCATAAATACTGTTGCCAACCAAAAAAGACCTACCATGGTTACCATAGTAGTCCAGGCCTACGTCATGGTCATCCACACCCCTTGTGGTGACTCCTGTAGTGCTGTTGGCGGTGGTCGAGTGCACCAGTGGCTGGTGTTGCATGGTGCGATATGCTTGATCTCCCCACACATGCTGCCCACTATAGATATGCGGTGGTGGCCCGAACAAGGAGTTGGCACTGGGGGCACTGGGAGTACTACTTGGAGTCGGCAAGTTGGACGGCTGCGAATGTGCAAGCTAGTAATAGTGTAAATTTGTCTGATCATTATGAACAAGATACACTTACAGCAAGGAGAGCCTGTGCATACTCATCCAATTCCCAAGCCATCAGAAAGCAGCTATTATGGGTATGAGCTGAATATATATATCAGCTCATGTTCCCACTATTCAAACAAACCTTACCTGGGCCACTAGCAATGGTTTCTCCTATACTGAACAACTTGCATCATGATCAACAGAATGGAGTGCACATTATTTGTGGGTGTTGATAGATGCCATGTATCTGCTGAACATTAAGTGATGACAGGTAAATAGGGAACTGCAGGGGTAAACCCCCAGGTATCAGAGGTGAAACCCCTACCCCTACCCGCTCATATACCCACACTCGCCAGGTGGGTACAGGTTTGGCCATGGGTAACAGTATGAATGACCCCAGGTAAAACCCATGAGGAGTATACCCGGGGGTCAGGGTATGATTTCTATATACAACGCAACAAATACATGTAATGACTAGCCTATCTCAATCCTATCCCATTCAGGCTCCATTTCCTGCTCCTCTCCCTCGAGATCTGGTAGGGTTGTGACTTTGTGAATATCCTCAGGCTTGATGAGATTCAGCATACTCCAGGACCTGAGGCACAGAAGTGCCCGTGTGGACTGCACTGAGAGACGGGACCTAATGTGGGAGAGGAGTAAATGTCCACAGCTGAATAGCTGCTCGACATCAATGGATGTTGCTACGAGTCCCATAAGCCACCTCATCATGCAAAGTAACATATCACATACCAGGGATACTCAGGTAATCAATCACCATTAGTGACAGACATGGGTATGACACACGATGGGCACACCACCAAGTGATGGCATTATCAACATGTTCGATGTCAGAATTAAGGTAGTGGTCCAATTCAGACCCTAAGTCAGCAGGTTGTGGTGGCACTAGTGTAGGAAGATTGTCAAATATATTGTTGCTCTGAAATTTATTCAGTGCATAGAATAATGTAGGGAAAAAGAAACATACCTGCTTCTCATTTGCCAGCAAATGATTTTCTATCAACTCAAAGTCTAAATTGTTGACAGTTGATAAGTATGAATGCTGGAATTCGTGGCGAACAAGCGACTGTGCTGTTTGGATCCATTGGTCTTCCCAGTATGCAACCTTGAAGTAAGATAGCTTATGGCGCGGATGTAAAACTTAATGTAGAAAGATGTTAACTACAAACTCCAGTAAAATGCTATAAAATACATACCCATAGCAATGCGATAAACTTCTGAACTATCTGTAAGTTTGTAGTAACGGTTCAGAGTTTTCTTTGCGAGTCGAACAGCCACACAAATCAGTGCAGAATATTTCTTGTTGTGCGAGTATGATGTGAGCTCCTGGTCAATATGATCCATGGCAGGGATCATGGTAGCCAGGTTCGGGGTCGCACAAGAGAAATACAAAGTTGCATCCTTGAGAATCTAGTAAAAGAACATGTGGTAAGCACGCTTTGATTGCTGTCATGGTGTGACAGCTACACACCTTCATTACATCTCGCAACTGTTTGACTATTTCCCGCTCACGGTCAGCCAACTCATACTTACGCAGAACCAGATCCCGATGTTGTGTAACATTGTTGACAGCTTTCCTATGCTCAAGTGCATAATTCAGCATATCAAACGTAGAATTCCAGCAAGTGGCCACGTCACATGGCATCAGTGTCACAGACTTGTGGGAATCTTGGAGAATCTGACATCATGCAGGGAGTACAATAGTTGTCGAGTGGATGTTTCTGTAGGCCAGCTTTCGCAACTAGAACACAGATTGAGTATTTAGGTAAGTGGGGTTTTCTTTACCTACCTTCACAAGTGCTAACTTCACAGGTTGAATTTCTCTTTCTAGCACATTCCATTCATCCGGTTCCAACAGTTTGACCTCATTCACCCACCCTTCGTTGTTATCAGCCACATCAGCAGTGCACTGATTGACTCCCTCCTCATCCTCTGCTTTGTCCAATTCACCTGCTTCATCTGTGTCTTCTTCATTGTCCACATTCCTGTCTGCTTCGGCAAGCGCTTGATCAGCATCACATTTCTTTACATCGAATTCTCAAATCAAAGACTTGGCTACAAGATTGACTGTGTGGAGAAAACAACAGGTATGTGTTGTTGCCCCTCCAAATGCCGGGGCCTTATTACTCAGCTCCTGAACCATAACATCATTATTTGATGCATTGTCGCAGGTTACGCACAAGATCTGCATGCCCTCACATTAGTGCCGAGTAAGTCCAATGATTTTTTTCTTGTCCGTTACCTGTTCTGATAACCCAAACTCCTCTAGCATCTTTTCAAATGTGTGCACGAGCTCCTCGCCTGTGTGAGACTGTGACCACATCAGCCAATATTCTGCTATCTCAGTAAGTAGCCACCTTTGCAACCTCGATTATATCTAACATTAAGCTTAGGGGCTCACCGTTATGCTCGAAGTGTGCCGAAAAGGCAACAAAAGCTCAATGGTTGGGAGATGACCATCTGTCAATGGTGAAATTGATTCTCCCTTCATATTCCTGGTAAGTTTGGTCATTTTCATATATTTCATTTGAATATAAACTCACCCGCAGCAATTTAGCAACACATTGGCGAGTCCGCACAAATACAAGCTGAACATCATGCAAAACAGTGGATGGAGAAGGTAAATAATACTCTGGTCTGCCCATCTTCATCAAAGACTGAAACCCTGGATCTTTGACGATATTGAACAGACGCAGACTCCCAGACACCCAGCGCACTATTTAGGACCTGCAGCAACATGCCTTAGACTTCAGCAAAAAATTCAACAGTTTCATACCTCGTTTCTGCACTTGTGTGTTGGCGGTGAGAGTAAGTGACTTTTCCTTGGCCTTTCCGTGCGAATGACATGGTGATTGACCCATCTCGTAGAACACTACCAATGATCTTGGACCAGATCTCATTAGCATCTTTTGCCTCATCTGCGGCTCACAACACATCAGCCCCCCAACACGAATGCACGTGCTTGCACATGTTGCCAGTTGAGTGTGCATCTCCTTTGTCGAGGAAACATCTGACATCGGCCTTGCAGCCTTTTGCCTGGCACTTAAACTCGTGTGCACGGTGTAAAGAGTTGGTTCTATGTGGGTGTTACAAATATGTTACCTTAAGACTCAGAGTGCGAGTGAGATGTTCGTCCCAAAGAGACTGCCTATAGAAATGCTCCTTGTTATAAAGCAAGGGATATCTTGTTAAGATCGAAGTGAGAGAATGAAAGTTACCAAGAGTGCACTCGGTGTTCCGAGGATGTGTCCGAAGTACCGGAGTACTTGTCTGAAGTGGTCTGAAGGTGGTCCGACATCAAGAAACGAAGGTCCAAGGTTGCGCGAAGCGTCCGAAGAGCTTCCGATGAACAGCGATGGTTCCGAGGTAGAAGTATGGTGTGTATGTTGAAGTGTAAGACTTGCAAAGTAAGACTAAGCAAAGCCTATCAGGAAAACTAAGACATAGCAAGATGCGAAATGGCAGCGGTCAGGCCAAACAATCGTTCTGAATGGACAAGAAAGATTGATTGCGCGAAGTATGACTATCCGAAAGTGACTCTACTGACTATGACTCATAGCAGGGAAGGTGAAGTGAAGTGCGAGTAGCTAGCGAGGCAGATTATATCCTACAGCGTGAATGTCCGGAAACTGCATAGGCAAAAACAGTAGCGAGATAAGGCATCCGAAATGTAATAAGACTTGAGGCGAGCCGCTACAGAGATATGCATGTAATAACGCACAAGGTGTGTTGTTATACGTATAACCAATGGGCCGACAACATATGTGCCCCTAGACATAATCAATAACTGATAACCAAGTGAAAAACGCACCAGCGAAGTCAAATGGACACGGACGGGACATGGTACGGAGGATCGGAACTGTATACAGGCCTCGGAAATGGACGGACAACCTTCGGATGACTCAGATGAGCGCATGGAACTCTCAGAAGGTAAATGGAGTGTCGAGGAATATGTGTGTGGGATACCTATGGAATTGGCAGGATACGAGCCCAACACCGATCCGAGTGCTACAATGGCATCCATTGATTTCAACAATCCTTGGTGTGGGATCAAAAGATGCGTAAACAGGCGAGTTCCAATCCTTCATCATCTGTTCTATTGATTCATTAAAATCATATCAATTCATAGTGTGTTGAACATACTCAGCTGGTCTTCAGAAGTATCTTCTTTGCTCTCCGACTCACTCTTGCTGCTTTGTGATCCACTCTCACTCTCTTTGGAATCCAAGTCAACCTCATTGGTGGATAATGTGGCTTCCTCTTCCTCAGTGTGAACTATGGCACGACAACTCATCACTGCTGGTGCCAGGGTTGGTGATTTTGAGGGTTCAATTGATGATGTCACAGAACCTTGGTTGACTGCTGTGAGATTTCCAGTGGAGGCATTCCCAGCTGCTGGGTGAGTTTTTGCCTTCTTTAGTTGTGCAGTAGTGTTATCTCCATCTGCATCATTGACAGGCTTCTGCTTCTTTGATGTGCCTATCACCTTCTCTTCCAGGGCCACTTTGGCTTTGGTTGTCATTTTGGTGACACATTTTGCTGGACCCAAGAAGATATTGAGTTGCATAGTGGCTGGCGAATTTCTATGGCTGGATTGGTGTATGTCAAGAATATGTGTTAGAGTTTGATACATTTTGCAGCTGTACAGTACCCTCTTTAGGTAGTCACATCTTTATGAAGTCATGTGTCTTTTTTTAAAACAAAACCCATGATCAGGGTGCAGGTAGGGGTGTGGTACCCCAAACCTGGACCCCTACCCCTACCTGGGTGGTACCCCTACCTGTGACCCGTGCGGGTTACCCATACCCATGGAGTACCCTACAGGTAAACTCAGCTGGGCTGAGCTGGCGAACTGAGCCCTATTTATCACTTTGTCTTTAGATATAATTCAGTGGACATGTGATCTGAATTTGCCATTTATATCTATAAAAACCTTTTTCTTGTTGGTTTCCTGATGTAGTAGTGTGTGTCTCCAATACCTCTATCTGTTCATCCAGTTTTCTCCAAAATCTGACATCTGTGACATTCGAATTCTTCATGTCTAGTTTGAGTACAGACTACTAGATATGGATTCTCTTAAGAACCATGTTCAGATAGGGTCAGGTCAATTCTCGTGATGAATATTACTATCATCCTAAATGTACTTCCGCATCGACCCCCTTATAGGTGGTGTCCTACTGAATGTTATGACCGGATAATTTAGTATTTTAGAATTTTCAAACTCCACCAGTCCTTCTTACCTTTTGCTCGTCAGTCTCGTCGTCGTTGCCCGTCCTTGTTGAATATGTCTTCATATAAATCAGCCGCGTTCAGAAACAAACTGCCCTCTGATCCCTCGGAATCAAAATTTCACCCTCAAGTTCCAACACTCCAAGAACTATTCCCTGCCTGGTCAAATGAAGGTGCGTCCTTATTTTGCAACATGACGTTTCGTTAATTATCCATACTTGCAGATCTCCAGTCTCTCCTCAATGAGGTCGGTGGTGATCTTGAGCTTGCAGTCACTCGAATCAGTGAAGGTATGTCGTATTCGTTTTTGCATTTTTATTGTCATGGTTTTGTTAATTCCGTAACAACCCATAGGGCACGCAGAACAATGGGGTTCAGTTACGCGCAAAAAGGACAAAAAGACTCCTGTAGCTCAGCACGCACCGTCAAAGGACCCAAGCATCTCACGTAGTGACTCGCGCGGCGGTCGAGGTGGACGCGGGGGACGCGGTGGTTCTGGTAGAGGCGGTCGTGGTCGGGGTGGCGCACGGGGTGCACCTGCAGTCAATGGCCATACTTCTTCTCGTGCCAAAGCTTCTGCCCCCGCTCCCGAAGACAAGCCAGCGCAGGTTGAGGATCTCACTGAACATGCTGTTGACAAGCCAGAGTTGAATGGAGGTTGGAGTGTTGCGCAGGATGCAAATGAATTGATTACAGCTACAACCTGGCCTTCAGAGCCTACAATTACTGAATCGGCTCCTGCTCAATCGCAGCCCACAATTTCTGCTTCGTGGGGTGCTAACACTGGTTGGGGTAATGCGGCTACTGTGTCCAAACCTCCTATATCATCTGCTAAACTCCCGGCAACTTCCAAACTTTCCTGGGCTCAGATTGCAAAGTGCGCGTCGATTAAGATTTTGGTTTGATATTCCGCAGCTAATCATTACTTGTGCGCAGACCACAAGAGAAACTCGTCGCAGCGTCACCCCCTGCACCTCCTTTACCATCAGTCATCGCCCCTGCACCCGAATCAGCCTTTGAACACGCCCCTCTCCCATCAGCTGTTAATGGCAATGCAGAACCAGTATCTGAAGGTTGGGAGGATCCGACAACCGTCCAGCCTCCTGAATGGGATGATGAGCCTCAACCCCAAGCCCAACACCAATCCCCTGTAGACGCTTGGGTTTCTTCTCAGCCTCTGTCGATGTCGGAGCCAGAACCCGTACCAGAGCCCCCTACTATAGTACAGGAGGAACTCGCCGCTCCCGCGCCAGAACCTGTGGCTGTCGTGTCAGCTCTTCCGACCCAAATTCAAAAGCAGGATGCGCCCACTCGGTCCAAATCGCCTGTATCTCTTTCTTCGCGGCCCGCGGTTCGTAGCAAGTACAAGGGCATCGATCAAGCTGTTGTCATGCCTTTGTCGACTGGTTTCACCCCTGGCCTGGACAAAGTAGGCATGCAGTTTGGAAGTTTGAGTCTTGGTGGAGACGTCATCGAGCCCACGCCGTGAGTCAAAATTTAGAACTGATATGAGGATCATCAACTGATATTTTTTGGTCAGCGTCGAACCTTCCGTAGTCGAACAGCAGCCATCCCCACAGCAGGCCACACAGCCACTCTCGCCTCTTGCGCCTCCTGCACCTGTTCAGCAACAAGAACCTCAACAGATCACTCCCGCGCCTGCACCGTCTGTCGCCACCTCTATCGCTACTTCTCCCTCGCAGCCTGTTCTCCCGCCTCCAGTACAGCCTGTTCTTCCACCTTCGCAAACAACTCAATTTGCACCTCCCCAACCTACAGCACCAATCCCGCAGGTACCTCAACATGCTCTTACACCTTCAATGTCCCTTCCTACACTTCCGCCGTCGAGCACCAGCTTCACCCAGCAGCCTCCCTCGCAACCGCAGCACCAGCCTCAGCATCAACACCAGCACCAGCCGCCACACCAGCCGCAGCCGCAGCATCAACCTCAACACCAGCCTCAACACCAGCCTCAGCATCAACCCCAGCACCAACCTCAGCAATTACCACAACTTCAGCCGTATGCTGCCCACTTGCATTTAGACAGTCCGCAAACACAGTCTCAACAATACAGCCCTGCCCAGCAGGTGCAGGCCCAGTCCGCAGCGTACTTCCGGCAAGATGCACCATACTTCAATGCACCAACGCCTCCTCAACAGCAGGACTACAGTGCATCCATGAGTGGCGGTATGGGTCCCTTTGGACAGATTGGGACGCAGCATCAGCAGCACCAATCGCAAGGTAGCCACCTGAGCGGCTTCGGAGGTAGTGAATACTATGGTGACAATCAACGTGTCAGTACACTATTCCGGCTTATTGTACCTTGTGTTCTGATTATAAGTGCAGCAAGGGTTTTATGACTCTTATGCGCAATCTCCAGGGTTTGGCGGCAATCGCAATGTCCTAGGTCATGATGATGTCAAGGGTCTTCCTACCTCACAACACCAGCACCAACATTCACAACCCCCCTCGTCGGTCATCCCTCCCTCTACATCTCAGTCGTCGCAGCCTGCTGCCGCAAGCACACAACAACCCTACGCCCCGCCGATGCCCTACTTTTATCCGTATCCTCAAAACCAGTATTATGGCAGTCCCTACAACCAAGGTTACCCTACACCCTTTGTTAAGTACCCTGCTCCTACTCCGCCAGCAATGTTCCAGCATCAACACCAGCCCGCAAAACAGAGTGACGGGTTGAGTATGGGTGCGGGCGTTCAGCGCGGATTTGGCGGGTATACCGATGATATTGGGTACCACCAGCCCTCGCAGCAGCAGACGCAAAACAACCACCATACATCCAGTGAGAGGCAATTGTACGGACATGGACAGGGGTTTTTGGGTCGGGGAGTAGCTGCACAGAGCGGGTCGCCTGAGGCATCTTACCGCAAAGATTCGGGGCAAGGGGTTGGTGTGCAACAGCAACCTGCAGGCCGCGGCGTGCGAGGACAGTACCCGCAGGTGCAGGCTAATTCAGAAGGCACTTTCTACCCATACCAGCCAGGTCGCCAATACTGGCAGTAGGTGAACGCGTAAAGGGTGCTTTCTGCCTAGTCTCTATTTTTGTACGTATATGTTATTGATACTGACCAGTGTCCATATACGCGTTCTGTTCGTGTTCACGCTCATACTGTTTCTTCTTTTTGCTCTTGATATCACGTTTCTATAGTCTGCATCATGTGTTGCATTGCAGTACCGTTCTAGCACCACTTTCTCATATTGTGAATAAGACTGGGAGAGCTCATCGATTACGAGAAGCTCCCCGACGTGGTAGTATCAGGCCAGGCTGGTCATGAGCCTAATGTACATCGTGATCTAATCATGCGTTTTGCCTAGCCGCCCTCACACGATCTCGAGAAAAAATTTGGACGAATACACGATGCAAAGGTGCTCAATATATATGCCGTGCGTCATCTGAGTTATTTCGACACGATGCGGCACTGTGTTGCATTTGTTGCAGGCAGTATGCGTGAACGGTACAATATTGTTTATAGTACAATCCCATGGTCCAAAGAGCACGTGACGCGGGCGCTCTACGGTACCATCGACGATGGTATGGTGTTCTTGACCTACATGCTCAAGGAACCCTGACATTCAGCATTGCTGCTGCAAATACTCGCGAATCATGTCATTTTTGGCTCCTAATAGAAAGATAGCAATAGTAACTGCGCATATATGCCCCTGGCCCTATAGTAATGTATCAGCCTGAATATTGTTTACAAAACTTAAGTACATTGAGAAGTTATTATAGGCTAAGACTCTTGAGTCAGGGTGCTGCTATCAAGGAAAATTAAGTGTCAAAGGACCAGCGCTCGAGTGGGTTACTGGTAGCTGGTCGCGGCATTGCATGCGAGGAACTTCATGATGGCAAAGGAACAAGGAAGGATTCCATGAAGACGGAGTTAAGACTTGAAAAGCTTTTGTTACCTCGCGCACTGCACATGCAAGCAGCAGACACGGTAAATGTGAACGTTGCAAAATTCAATATGCAGTCAGTTGTGAAATGAGTACTACATCAACGGATACTGTACACTTATTCGAAGACTATCGACAAAGACAACCCAAATGAAAACGAAGCGGAATTGAAATTTTTAAAAAGAACATGGTTAATGGTCGCGAGCGAAACCCGAATCTCTGACATGCATAGCGACTGTGAACGATCAATGAGATCATGGCATGAGTGAGCAAGAAAGAAATTCATACCACTTCAAAACGTTCAAAGCAGTCCGAGCCAAGACCAATCCCCAAACAGGGGCGAAGAATCTTTCACCCAACCCTCTATAAACGTACTCTTTCCATGTTCTCGACTCTTCTTCTCCAGCCACGCGATCTTTTCGGTAGTGCCCTCCCCGTGTTCCTCACAGAGTTGCTTCAGGATGATGCTCCGACTCAATCCGGGATATCCGCTCATGACTTTGAGTATGTACTCTCCCATAGCATCAACACCGGTGTCACTAGTAACCTGCGTCATAACCCAACCGCGGTTGATGCGGAAAATCATTTTAGCTCCTGGATCATCAATTACAAAGCGAACTGCTTCACCGCTCGCAGTGAAGAGGAAGTAATCGACATTTCGGTCGGCTTCAAGCATCTCGGCTTGACGCTCCGCAGCAGGGGTGCGTTTACCCTTACAGGGATTTACGCCAATGTCTCTGAGGCTCGTGAGCTGCCGACCTTCCTTGTCAAAGTTGCGAAGCATTTCGGCGGTGGGATTGGAGTCGCCGAATGCCCAAAGGGAGTCTCCCTTGGTTCCGCTTAGACCCTTCGACACTGGCTTCTTGCCACAAGCCCGTTTGTGAAGAGACCAGTCTTGTTTCTGGCAGGATCTAGTGGATGCAACATCATGAGGGAGTTATGAAGACGAAATTAAAGGACTTCTACTCACTGAGATAGTGCTGCCGCGGTCCGGTCCAGAACCATGGTTCGAACCGGACTTTTGGTCCGGTTCTCCGCGGTTCGGTCCATGGTTCTTGCGCCAGCTAGAACCGGACCGGAAAACGGTTCTCGGTTCTAGGTCTTCCCAAACGGTCCAGTTCTGGTTCGGCCTTCCCGAACCATTCCGAACCCTTATCGACTTCGACTTCGACAACATCTGCCTCGACATCAGACTGTCGTCTTCGGGATTCACGTTGTTGATTAATCAAGCTACATTTAGCCTTTTCGAAGGTAAGCACTAACTAATTAAACTCTCAAGTCTCTCACCAACTCGCCTCTATAACAGGAGGTTCTGTTCATTGAGGACCGGCTACAACACTGCGCAAGACTACCTTTTACTGGAGGTGGATATATTAGGCGCGATCAAGGTGGATTTTGGAGGGATTGTGTCTTGCACTATGCTGCAGAGGTGCGTATTATGATTTGTACTCTGAATGCTGATGGCTCCCTCGAGGGCCAGCACTCATCACTACCAGCACACAACCCATCACACACCACGCTACCTGCGCCTATGTTGATGCCTGCCACCTCACCGCATCCCCTCTCACTCGCTTGCTGTTCTTGCCGGCTGACTTTTGCTGGCTGGCTCGCCGTGTCTCACTCACCCACTGTCTCTCGCTCACTGTCTCACATGCCCGCTGGCTGCTCTCGCCCACTGTCTCTCACCCTCTGTCTCTCGCCCGCTGTCTCTCACCCCGCTTTCAAACCAATATTCCACGACGACTCGACAAGAGAACAGAGGGGATCCATAGGAACGGCAAAGACACGCATGCTAATCTACTGCCCACCCCCCTTCTCCTCCAGAAGACATGCCATCGAGCTGTGATACGCCTCGCCACTCTACCCCAATGCCACCCTCTCCACCCACATCTCAAACACGTCATCAAGCACCAAAACATATCCCGGCACCATTCATCACTCGACAACCTTCCAAATATACCCCAATGATGTCGAAACAATAGATCCGCTGCAAAACTCGGTCAAAAAGCAACCAATAGTCTACGGATTGCTCAAGTCACGGTGGAGGGGTAGGAGCCGCAGCCGTACTAACCCGCAAAGGTGTATACTAAAATACCATCTAGGATCCGACCGCAAGCACACCGCATACAAAGCTGAGGTCGTACATTGGGACTTGAATGAGCTTTCGCTAATATGCTCGAGTAAAAGTCGTGTCATTCACACAGCAGGGAAACTAACATTTTACCACCTTTTTCCGCCAGTGAAATCACATCCTAATGGCGGTTAACCGGCAGCTTACTTCAAATTGCTTGTCTGGATCAGATGCCGCAGGTTCACATTCCCCATGGTAAGCATTGGTTGTTATTGTGTTTTATTTCATTCTCACCATTTGTATAGATCAAATCAGTTAGCTCTTGGATCAGCGGCTACAGAGGCAGAGAGGGGTATGTAGCCATGTCATTGGAGTAGCTACTCGATGTGTAAACTAGTATTTCAATGTTTTTTTTTCATGCTCGCTGCTGAAAATTTTCGGGTTCAGTTCGAGTTCGGACCAGAAAAAAACCGAACCGGACCACAGAGAACCGTTCTCTGTGGTCTGGTTTGGGGTTCGAAGATTTTGCAGAACCGGTCCATGGTCCAGTTCTCGGTTCTCGTCCAGGACCCTCTGAACCAGACCGAACCGGACCATGGCAGCACTACACTGAGAACAATAATGTATCTCGAAGTTGAGTTTCGCTTTGCAAACACTGCACACCATGAAACGAACACCTTGTCCTATTTCTTCTGGAGTCTTCGTGCAGTTTTCACAGCGGACAAGAGGTTTATCCCTGGTAGTCGTTTTGGCCTGTGCTAAAGCTCGAGCGACATATCCCTTTGTATTCTCCATGAGGTACAGGACCCCCTTCATCCCCTTGCTACGATTGGTGATGTCACTTACGACTGAAAACACTGAGGACAGAACAAAGTGTCCTGTTCATGGAATGTTAGACTCGCATGATGTTATATGAGCGGGAAACACTCGCCGATAAACTTATTCCTATTGATAGTCGCGACTTCGAACAGAAGCTTTGTGCTTTGGGATACTTGTCTTCGAGGTGGAACATCGGCGGCCGGGGTCTGTACCCACCATGGATTTGGCAGGTTCGACGCCTGTTCCCACCATGAGTTTGGTAGAAATGCTGGTTGAAGGGATGACTCGGATAACTCTAAGACACGAGCGAGAAAGTCGACGAAGCCCTTCCCACCCTGCATCAGAAGGTTCGAAACTGTGACCTCCGGGCAAAGAGCACGACAATCTTGCCCCCACAACGTACGTGCTTCACAAGCCCCCTTCAGGCCTTCATGGATATGTCTCTTCTTCTCCGCAACATTCAACAACAACCAGATGGTGTCAAAGTGACCTTCGTCGAACAGTCTATGCAGGATCTTGGCTACGGTATTTTGGACCCTGTGAAAATCCCGGTGGAAGAACTTTATGGTGTCAGGAGTGAAGCAAGAGTCACCTAGGAAACGAGACATCTCCTTGAGGATGTCTGCTGCGGTTGAAGATGCAATCGCCGCTTCCCACTCCTTATCCCACTTGAGCGCATCTTGCTTAACATCAGTGATGTTGAATTTCTTGGACAAGAGTGGAGGAAAATATTTAGGTGTCTTTACAGCATCATCGTCCTTGATTGCCGATGTCATTGCTAGATGATGAGTGTACCGCTGGGAGGGTATGGAAGATCAGGGATATCAACGAGACGTGTTTTATAGCTAATGCCCCATGATGATAATTGGATGCCATCATATCGATAGTCAAGTGAATAATAGTTCCATGATCAATGATGAATATTAATCATGATAGTCTATAAAGAGACAAGCGATGATCTTCCAGACGTAAAATCTGCACTCTGTATGATGTAAAGAACTTACTTATCACCGAGTATATTCCACCCGGGTGTATCTTGCTTGATTCCAGTGATGTTGGGGAAGAGAGGAGGTCGATCTTTAAGTTTCTGTGGCCCTCGGCTGCCAATGCAGACGATAATTGAGCACTCTGAGCTACAGAGCGTATGTGAGATCTAGACCAGACACATTGAAATTTCATGACAATCAGATACCATTATATCGATATAGTCAAATTGCAAGCATGGGCAGTGGAAAGTAGTTCATGATCAATGATGTTGGTCCGTAAAGAGAAGGTCACAGACGTAAAATCCTGCGCTCTATATGATAAGCAAACACTCCTATTTTGGCATTTGCTCCTCGAAGAGAAGCGAAGCCTGACAGCATTGCAGACGAGAAGACCAAATTTGGCAGTGGGGGAGAAGGCCAAACTTACGCCCTGTGTGTATGAGGATAAAGAACTTACTTATCACCACCACGAGGCTCAATGCGGTCTCGAGATCTCATGACTCACACACCGGCGGTTTCAGAGTTTTGCTTCGGGTAAGATTTTAATTGAAATGAGAATGTCAAGTTAGGCATTCGTACTATGAATTGTATCACTGGGATAATGGCAAATTTCGACTGACGGAAAAAATGACAAAGCAAATAACCTATTTCGACACCAATTTGAAGTGTATTTTATACTCGAAATTTTTTCCTTCCGAAAAATATAAACTTCTACAATCCTATTTGGTGGAAAGATAAATTCAAAATTTCGAGGTGCAGAAAAACATTCCGTAAAATATTATGTAATAACGGGCGTGTTGCCACTCTGGGAAATTTTGAATTTTCCCTAAGCTTAAATGAGATTGAGAAAATGCAAAGTTTAAGCAGCGGAAGAATATAATGGGCATTCATTGGGCGCTCACTGGGCATTCATCAAGTATTAGTCGTGCATTCGTAAATAGCTTATGTTGAATATATGTGACACGTGACTTCAGAGACCTGTTCATTGAAACTGAACGCGTTAATTATTGAACACATTCATCTTCAGACGTTAATCCTAATCCTACTTCAATCAACAACGATGGCTGAACTTAACACAAATCATGTAAGTTGTCGGTAGCCTGATCACACATGGGGACTGATGCATCGTCTGCAGGAAGTTGATATTGATGAAAACTACCATGTAAGTTAGACTACCGCCTGAGTGAATACACTAATTCTACAATAGCCTTTTCATGGGGAGGAACAAGCTGGGAACGACATGCAGGATCAGGGAGGAGGTATGGAGGAGCACGCTGGAGGTATGGAGGAGCATGCTGGAGGTATAGAGGAGCACGCTGGGAACATGGAGCAAGATCTGGAGGATCACGATGGGGAGATCGAGCACGCTGGAAACGTATGGGACCAAGCCAGTCAAGAAACATTCGCAGTAACGCCATCTGCGATAGTAAGTCCAATTGCTGCCCATCTCCGTTAGCAAATTATGATGTTTCTAGGTGCTATGGGACTACGCACAGGAAATCGTACAAGACGATATGGAACACATGCAAGCCCATCTGCACGTGCCACGTCCCGTCCACCCCCCCATCCAAATGTCGCATCACGACAAATGCCTCCTAGCATTGATGGTAGAGGACAGGCGCGAAGCGTTGCTCAGGTTATGGCGGGAGTTGGACGAGATGGAACATCTTCTGGGTTTAGAGCACATCTAGGGATGTAGGAGGAAAAGCCGGAGAAGGGGGAGGGAGAACGGAAGTGATACAATGATTAGATATCCATTACCTACCCCTTATGATTTACGAACCTTTTTTTCTGCAATGCCATCCATCACTTGCTTGACTTGGCCGTCCCATCAGCATACAGGTGTTCTACCAAACGAGTTGTCAGTTCCTGGCAGGCAGCAGTTCACAAACCTTCTTTTCTGGAATGCCATCCACCACTTGCTTGGCTGGCCCATCCCATCAGCATACAGGTGTTCTACCAGATGAGCTGCCAGTTCCTGGTGCGCAGCAGTTCACAATTCATAAACCTTCTTTTCTGGAATGACATCCACCACTTGTTTGACTTACCCATCCTGATAGGTGTTCTACCAGACAAGCTGCGAGTTCCTGCTTCAGTAAAAATACATGTTACTAAAGCTGTCGTCAGCTTAACCAACTTAGCTTGAAACTTGTTTGTTCTCTGTCACATCATTCTCTTGGCGTATCTTATGTTTCTTTAGTGTAAAATATAATAAAACATGTACCTCAACAATTTTTTTCTCGATATGTTTAAGTTGAAATTTTGGCCAAGTGGACTGACTTGCACAAAGACACTCAAGTAATGTGTATTTTTACTGATGTGGCAGACAAGCGCAAAAGCGCCGTTAGAGTACCTGTGTGAAGCATCAGTAATGAATGAGTAATTTAGACATGAATGCCTACCTCCAGCCCAATGCATAGTGAGAGGGACATGCACACGACAGACACTCCATGCTCGGTGAAGGTACAACAATTCAGATGGTGAGTCTGAACAATGTTGGGTCTTGCAGAACCTAGCTGCTATTCGACCCTAAAGGGTTTCTGGACCAGGCTCAAGGCTCAGAGGAGAGGAAATGTCATAAAAACTGCTGAATACTCAGACTCATACTGGTAACTGGTGAAAAGGTAACTTGATTATGTAAGCTACAAAAGTGCAAACATAACACTAAGGTAAAAACAGTCTCTGCAAGCCCAGCCAGAAATGAATCCCTACATCGGTCCCAAAAATATACTTGATAGTTCCTAGTTTGTGTCTTTGAGGTTGATGTGTGATGAGCACAATATTCATTTTTTGAGTACCAACCGAGTAGCTTGTCGTGCCCAGCGCACTGGCGAGGCACCAGATCGAGTTGACTTATACAATGCGTGTATACGAAGATGATACGTATTGTAAGCATAAGTCGTAAGATGAATACAGGCTCACAAAGTACTAGAAAAATATCATTGGTCGAAGGACACAAGGCCATCTAGGCCAGCCACCGAACTGAGGATCTCAACGTCACCCTCAGGATCCAGCCTACATTTATTGCCAGATGGTGTGACTTGCACCCATGTGGACGTCAAATCTTGTGAGGCACATAGTGACTTGGTGTATAAACGACATCCACTTTGCTTGTTGGTCGGATGCACTTTTTGCAGTACGGCTGCGTCTTTGTCAGGCCATCCGGATGAGCCAAGGTACTTGTCGTAGATATTGATGACGGCCTTGTGTGAGTGCAGGATCTGCATACCTATCTCCTTCTGGTAAGCAGAAGACTCCAACAGGCAGCATTGTGCAACATCTATCATCTTCTGCTGTGCAGCCATGTGCACAGACCCGGCTTCGTCTAGAACTTCCTGCAATGAGAGCCACAATCGCACAAGTGACTCCTGTGCCTCAGGGGAAACCAAGGAGTACTGATGCGAGAAGAACTGGGCTAGTTCAACGACGAGATTGTCGAGCGGTTTGCAGCCGATGAATATATCACGTGGAAAGTAGGTTCTAGCGACAAGCCAATCCGATTTCGCGGATCCTCCGGTCCCCACCAGCGGATCAGCGTCGAAGATCTGCAAAATGAATTGCGTCCTGTCAATGATGCTCATGTAGCTCTCCCTGTACTTCAAGGCCGTCCACAGAACGACGTACAGACCGGATTCGAGGTCATCCTCGACAGCATGGATGGCAAAACTATTTTTAACAAGGTGAGCAGACATGAACTGCCAGGTTCCCTTGGTGACGGCAAAATCAATACAATATATGAGTTTGGAAAACGAACATACCGTGCGGGTGGTTTGTCGAGGACCCTGAATGGTAAGTAACTTCGCTAGGTCCCAGTCGATGAGAAAGCCCCTCCCTCAGTAGATAACGATATTTCCGACGCTGAGATCTCGATGTAGTATTTTTGCATTTTTATATGCATCCTGGTGGGCTGCGTGGATAATGAGTATGGACATCAGGTAATGTGTGCGAAGTAAATACATACCAAGTAATGCGTCGCGAACAGACTGGACGAGTTGATGAGAACTCTCAAAATCAGTCAATTGCTTGCCTACAAGATCGAGAACCAGGTGGTGAAGAATGTGGGGAGTGACAGCCTTGTTGGGGCAAGCCCATTCGGCGCTCCCAAACTTGACAGTCTGAGTGTTTCGCTCAGGGGTAGCGTGAATCACATCATGAAATGCAATGCATGTTGCGACATTGTGAACATTGTGCGACCTCAATAATCTGTAAGTCTCGCCTTCCGGTAGAACATCCTTTAACAACATGCGCCAAGAATCCTTGAACATTACAACCCTGTTATTGAGAATATCAAACGCAGGACACGTGCGAGTCCAGCGGCCAACAAGCGAAAAACCTTTTGCAACAGGTTGGGGGATGATCAACGTCAACCAGTCAGAGTCCTCAACAGCAGGATCCTGAGGGACTGCAACTTTCAACATGCGCATGGTAGAAGTGAGCTTTAACATCATCCTTGCGAGGGCAGCATCTTCATTGCTAGCAGGGGTTACGGAAGTGTCAACGCCACGCAGGGCAGGCGATGCTCATGCAAAACAATAAAAGAAATCAGCCAGGTGTGACTCGTGGTTGTAGTCGAAGGCATTGGTGACGATAGCTCCCTCCCTATCCCATCTGATGATGCGAGCACGATTGTGGATAATGAGGACGGAGAATACATGGGTACGATATTGAGCACCAAGCTGAGCGACAGCATAGCTGGTTATTTGGCCCAATGTATCGAAGCCCTTATCGGTCTGTGACACAACCGACTGATCAACTGATCAACTCCAGGATGTTTACGGAATGCGTCGTGGACATCATTCCATTTGAATTCGATGTTGACTTTGAATTTGGAAATATTGCAGCCGTGCAAAGTTCCGTCGGCGTATACACATACATCCGGCTTGACGTTGAATGTGAATGATGAGCAGTTATTGGTGTCTGCATGTTTGGAACTGTTCACAAACAATAACTGGGGAGCGAAGGGTCGTATGCCGTTAATCTGCAGTAAAACTGTCAAGGATCTGAATATCATAAGTGCAGAATTACTCATGAATCGATCGTAAGAATCCTCCTCTTTCTTAATAGATTGCATGTCGAACACTTCAGCATTGGAGGCTGAAGCAAAGTGTGAAGCAAAGTCCGAGGTGTCATAATCTTCAGGGTTTGGTAGGAACTTATTGAGGAAGTTCTCTACTGGCATGGGGTCAACAACATAGTTTTGCATCCCCTTGCCCATGGAGTTAAGGGTATCGACTCAGCATCGAGCAAGGGTCGTGAAGGGTAGTCTTGTCGGACTATCTCATTTGATAGGAGTATCGACGATAGGAGTAGCTAGCGAATCCAGCGCGACAGGCTGTGCTAGTATTGGTGTTGAAACAGGAGGGATGATGTTCCCTTCAGCTGCAGAACTATCCTGTTGGACAGTAGCGGGAGTAAGCTGTGAACCCTGCGCGGCAAACTGCGCTGGAATTATTTCTGCATCTACTGCAGCAGGAGTGACAATCCCATCACCTGTAGTAGGGCGACACAGGTCACCAAGACTCATGATATTTGATACAATAATATGTATGGGTATGTATAGTGTATATGCTAGTAAAACACTATGTTATGTATGGGTATGGGTATGGGTATAGGGAACGGCAAAAAACCGGTCCGCGTTGTGTGTGCACTTACAGGTATGTGTTGTATGAGAAAGAGAAACAGGAACAAGAAACAACATGACACAGTTTATATAGAGAATGAAACTCAGTCCGGATTTTCCCGGACAATGATGCAAGTAGTTATATAATTAGCACGTTGGTTTTTCATATTAATTGATGGCACTTACTATTCACCAAGCTGCTACTCAGTGCAGCAGTCCGGGTAGATATTGGTAGTGCAAAGGCATAAATCTGAAATATGTAGATCTATTAAGTTAGAGAAGTCAGGTAGGCAGTGATATGGAAACTACAATGTATGCATCAGAAAGGCTTAGCGCCCGCTTCAAACGTGACAAACAACTTTTTAAGTTAGAGCAAGGTACCATGCAGAGCAAACTACATATTATGTATGTATTGAATCAAGAAAAAGAAAGCAAGAACGAAACACCTAGGTGAATGCCCACAAAGTTCAGCACCTGCTTCTCCTGACATGTATGTCGCCTTGACAGCTCTTTTGATCACTGTAGTATGCGGAAAGATGCCTTGTGTCAAGCTATATAGCAGTGGATATTGTTTTTTGGCGTGATTCAATCCTATTAATCGTGAGTTGACATCACAATTGTCAGATAGAGAGAACACACCCAACTCAGAGATACAACAATGATATGCTGTGCAGAGAAGTTCCATCTTGCAAAATGCGACACTACCCACTCAGGCATGACAATTGTGAGATGTTGAGTGAGCGCTGACGAGAATAAATGAGCTGGGAAGTGAGGATAATGGCGAAAAGGATCAGAGTGAGAATGCGATGGAAGGTGATGCCGCACGGCGAAACACACTCCTCGCTCTGTTTCGAAAATATACTTGATGGTCCCTGGTGTTGGTTGCACATTCCTAAGGCCGTTAGGATAATAAAGAATGAGGCTGTTACCAACATGAGTGGAGTCGCGAGTATAGATAGATCCCTTGTGGAAGGTGCGAGCATGCAAGACTGCCCGCCAAAGTTGAATGAGTTGGCGGAGGTCTTCTGGAATAACTTCTTTTATAGTAGAGGCCATCGGGTGACCTTGGCATCCATCACTTGGATTAGCGTTGATCGAGGGAGACACAAATTTGTCAAATAGCCACTTGACCTCCCTAAATACAGGAGGACAAGAGGGATGGTTCAGCCAGTATTTGAGCTTTGCAGCCTTGATGTATGACCGGAGGAGTGTTGATTCTTGCTGTCCTGCATACCAGCACAGCATAAGAAGTTTATCATCAACGAACAAGTTCAAATATTACCAAAAATGTGATTGCTAGGCAACCGCTGTAGCTGCCCAATGAGGCACTCATATGGGAAGCACCACCATGACCGCACGGGTCCGAAGAGTTGCAGGTAGTCCCAGACGTGCAATGCCATATGACCATTGGTCCAATGGTTTGCATGGGGGTGGATTACTTGCAAATCCCTTATCCACTCGACTATATATGTACGGTATGCATCTGTGCAATCCATCGTCATAGAGTGCAGACAGGCAATATGAATAGCAGATATGAGGGCCATCGTGTGATCAAGGGTGGCACAACGGCTGTCCGCGATGTCTGTGTTGCGATGTACCGATCCCTCGCCCCATAGACTGATTAACACTATGGGTAAGTATACAGTCGTTAACGTGCGCCATTCGTCGGCCTTCATGGTGTAGAGACTCGTGCCTCTCATTGTGCAATATCGCAGTTTTCACTAGGGAGTACATGGCACGAACTTGTAGCATCACTCTGTATGCTATCCACAGCTCTTCCTATACGAGGCGCAGCTTTCCCGCGCATACCTTTCCCGCGCTTCACGATGTATATGCGCGCGCGCGCTTTCCTGCGCTTGAGCGCCCTATAGCGCCAGCCATCCGGAAGCATCCATCCACTGTCCACCAAGTTCCCTAGTGCGTATATTTCCATTTCTCACATTTGCTTATCATTCCATCTTTATTTTTATCATGGACCCTTACTTACATATATCTTTACATACCTTACTCGGTAGCGCTTCGGCTCCGCATGACAGCGCTTAGGCGCCATACTTAAGCGCCAGCAGTACATACTATTAGGGACTTACTCACTTACTCTCCCACCAGAACGACAGAGGACTTACTGGTTACTACCCACTATTTACCTAGCAGAACATAGTAGAAATCTATTTGTTTACACCTCACATCTCTCTTCTCTTGTCTTACATCATATCATCACTTAAGCAAACTCACTCTTACTCTCTCTTGTATCTGTATACACGCGCACGCTTTCCCGCGCTTCGCGCCATACACGCGCGCATTCCCGCGCCTTGCGCGCACCTGCGCTTTCTCGCGCTTCGCATTGGCCAACCAGTAGCGCTTTCAGCGCATACCTCTAGATCCTTGCTGCACTCGCTTCCCCTTTAGGGTCGAATGCACTTGTCGTCTCAAGTATAGCAGACTAGGCAACGCGCAACCTTACAACATTTATAGATACAAGTCAGGAGCATTGTTCGTGCCTCGCTGTATCATTGAACCTTCAACGATCCCAGCTTTTGTTTCCCCAAAGTTATAGGGGACTGATCTCAAGAAAGAGGGTGTATCTGTCGTCTTGATGACATCAGAAATACACTGCATAACTTCTGGAGTAGCAATGCGTGATTTTGACAACCCTGGGAGAGAAAGGTCTGTGTTCGACGCTACAAAGGGATCACTCAATTAAGAGGGTATGAGAACAACACTGTTGAAATGCCTACCCAAACAAGGAGCGATCTAACCCAATGGATTTTGTAGACTTTTTTTCCAGGGTGCGTGACCTCTAGGCACGATGCCCAAACCTACAGATATGAACTGAAGACATGCGACCTTCTTTGTCAACAGTCTTCTCTCTAAGTCAACAACAGTGATCCTCAATGAGCTCAGGGTCACTTCCCTCGAGGTCAGAACTGCTTCTGTAAGAAGGCTATGGATTGACTGGACGGCTCTGACGTCTTTCTCAGTTGAACTCTGGAGATTTGTGTGAATTAACGTTGAGGAAAGGATGTTTGAAAGCAGGGACAACATCAAACTTGCAGATTGGTGGAGTCGGCTGTGAGGCCTAGAAATTCATGGAAATGAGCATGCACGAGACCCTCCAGGAGGCAATGCATATTGTCGACCACAATTTGATGAGAGGGATCCCAGTATGATAACCTCCAGAGTGTTGACCATCGCACACTGTGCAATGAAAACAATTTGTTGCGCTCAACCGAAGTTTCAGCATTCTTCCAGAGCTCAGCATAGTGATGAACTTCGTTCTTGTCCCTAAGAACCCAATCTTCAGTCTGGATGTCTGTTCTACCGCAAGTCAACCTGTGCCAGCAATGGCAGGCTGTGCAATAAAAGTGACTTGTTGGACCCACCAGCTGGGCAGCCTTTCTCGCCACCGGGAGGTCACACACAAGACACGCTATAACACTGCTGCGTAACTCGACCTGGGACTATGTAGAGCTGTGCAGGAATAACAGTATGCCACGCTCCCAACTTTCTACCATGTCATCAACCACGGGATTGAGGAAGTGATTCAGCTCATCGCCTGAAGGTTCTGAAGGTCCAGGAATGATGCCAGCTAAGTACATGTTCTCAGATTTATATCGAATATCGAGGGGGAGGTTCAAACATGCACATGAGATGATGCCAGTAGAGGTCGAGGCATTTCGTTGGAGATTGCCTTCAATGTTGAAAAAATCAAGGTTGAGCGTGAAAGTGTATCGACCCTCAGTGCCTCTATCGATAAATAGGGATTGCCCGGAAGGACCTTTGAAAGTGCGAAAGAAGTTGGCATCCCAAACATCCTTGATAATATGAGGTGGGCTGCCAATAGACGCCAGCAAATCATCGCAAGGCCTATCCATCAACACTTCAAGGTTGGGACAAGACAGCAATCCAGTGAGGTAGTTGTGGAAGTGGTGATAAAGGAATATTTTGATTGGTTCTAATTTTCCATCAGCAGAGGGCTGCAACAGCGGTTCATCACAAGGACCATCCTCTGGTATCGGACAGTTGAAGCACTTCGTGGGATATCGGGCGTGACTTGAGTTGAGGCAGGTGGTCAGGTCTATAAGTACAGTTGCATGCCGGACAGACCACGCAAGCTGTAGTCTGGCCATCGAGCTTGAAGTGTGATAGGGCGGTTTCCATAGAGCGTGGGATTTGAGAGTGTGTGTTTTGACGGCGGGACTCAGAATGAGGGTTCTGAGCCTCCATAGCAAGGCTCAAAATGAGGGCAAGGACTCCCATGAAAAACTCCCCATGTCTGCGACTGATGCCAAAAATGACGACAGATACAGCCCCTAGAAAGAGGGATATTTGGGCAACTTTGTCACAAAGGTCAATTGGCAAGTCAAAATGGTGTGCTTCATGTATCTTAGTCGAAGGGCACAAGCAGGATGAATAGAACTTACACGAATCAAATTCAATCGGCTCGGATGACACAGAAAGTGCGTCTTCCTTGTCACAGAGGAGTCTGTGCATGTCATTGCACGACCCCTCTAGCTGACTTCTATGAGAAACGATGCATGAGACCTTGTGCTTGACGTTTCTTAGGGCCATCATGATCACAGCCAGTTCATCTCGGATGGTCTGCATAACATCACAGGAAGTCGCAGAGAAAATTTAGCTGCGAGCCCTATCCTGTCCGTGACTCTACAATATCCAAAGCTTCTTGAGCCTTTGAGCAGCAGTCGCTTCTCAGCAGCCTGAAGATCTTGGGCAATGTGTCTGGGAATCGACCAAGTTAGTGAATATAAGGTAAGACGAAATACGATGCTCACTGCGTGTCATCTACCATGAATGTAGCTGTACCATCCAGAGAATGATAGGCTTGTCTCTTCTCCTGCTGAACTTCTGCACAGGAATTCCAGAGTTTGCTGTGACTGTCTGGATTGACGTCGTTGTCGGTTAATGTGATAGCAAATAACTCGGCAGCGAGATTGTCGACCTGTAAAGTATCAGACTCTAGCTGCTGGCGAGCGAGACTGAAGCAAGGATGCTTCACGCTCGGACGATGGAGCCAAGTTAGCAGCTTGGAACAAATGTACGGTTTTCAGTAGCGGTGGGTATTTCTTTGCCGCCAGGATTCCCAGGCATGCCGTCTTCTCCAATGTTGCAGCATTGCGCACACCTACAAAGAAACTGTGCGGCTAGGCATCTAAATAAACTTCAGATGATGTACTAGCTGCTGTCGATAATCTGACCTTGGAGAAAGATAAAAGCAAAGGTCAAAAAAGTGCAAAGTTACATGCATAAAGCGGCGGGTAACGTACAAGGTCTGGATCTCGGGTTGTTATGGGCGATGCCAAATTACAAGGAGCTACATATTTGAGACTGTAGGTGCCGAATCAGTGTATATTACAATTCCTGAGGATGCAGGCTTACTTGGCACTTAGATTCGCTTCGAGCGAACACTTGTATTTGTTCATGATCAATACAAGAACGACTTTTTCTGCTAATTTTTGCTCATGATATAAATTACTACGACCAAGTTACGACAGTACAGTACATAGAAATTAGAAAGAAAAGTTGATTGTCAAATGAGGACACGCCTAAATACTGAATGACTACATATCAAACTCCGCCAGCATTTGCCGCTCAACGCTGTTACAGTGTACTTACAAATTCTAGCGCCACAAGATCAAGTGTTATGTTACAGTGATGTATACAAATATATAAGCTATTTTTTCAGCGCCGGGGTTCCACTGCATTGCATGTGTGAGGAAATGATTAATTATGATTAAATTACAAGAGTTCTCACCTGGTGAGACCTGCAGATCCACAGCCAGTTCGACATCGCCTGGAGCAAAGCTACACATAATATCAACAAGATCCCCAGCAGCAGTAGCCGAGTAACCTCGCAAAGTAACACGCTTGACTTGAGGAAGGGCTTGAATCCAAGCCGTAGATAGTGCCTATGCCCACAATTAGTATTGAAAAAGTGCTGTAACAATAATACATACCAATGAATCACTTGTAGCACCTGTAGCACTGGCTGAACCATCTGAGCAGTCAATCACCAAGTGTTTGATGCGGACCATCAAATGGGTGCCCGACCAACACATCATCGCTGCACTAGAATGACTATTAGGTAGGGAAAGGAGGAGATATCCGATGCTGTCACAATGGCCGACACACTGTAAAATGGAAGTGATGTAGTCGGGCGATGCATCATGAGCTTGTAAGGAAATGTGAAGGCAGGTGAGGTTTCATTGTTTAGGATGACTCCGAAGGATTGGAAGGAGATGTGACAAGGGTCCTGTCCAGGGTAGACAGAGAAAGAATCAAAGGTTTGGTGACTCGATTAGCCCTCCAGGGAACACCAGCAGGTCGCGGAATGACACTGAGGTTACTGACAGCAGGGTGACGGGCCAGAAAACTGAATGAGCAGTGGGTGGCGCACAATCAGCATCGACTCGGAGTTCGACAAGTGTTGGGATCGTGAAGTGGCGCATGAGTTTGTCCCAGTGTGCAGCACTGAGCTTGATGGAACTCAGTCGAAGTTTTTCCAAACAGGGGGAAAGACGGATGGTCTGGATTGTGAAAGGAAGGATCTTTGGGGAAAAAAACACCCGGCAAGATGCCTCAAAGGCTTTCAGGTTGTTCGCACCTATACACGCCTGGATTCGGGTAAGGCCAGTGATAGACGGCGAGACTGCACCATCACAGAAACCCATGCACGTCAGTTCTTTGACGTCAGAAGCACAGATATTTTCTAGTAATGCAACTATTTGAGAGAGAACTGGGGAAGTGGAAATGTCGAAATTCCAAAACAGTGTGATGTATGTTATCGACTTGTGGGGGATGGACTTGAGGAAGTGCGACAATGCGGATATCTGTGAGGATCGCAAATCAGAATCCAGCCAACTCAGCACCATACGCGGCGGACAAAAATTATCCATTCGTCTCCAAGTTGACAAGACGTCAAAATTTGGCGAGTCCACACGAATGTGAAATAGATTCTTCGGGGAAGTTGGAAAGTTTCTTTGGATGAAGAACAGTGGAGCAGCGATTTCTCTTAACAGAGAAGAAACTTGCGTGACAGAACACAGATCTTGCGCTCCTAGAAGTGCGACGGTAGCAATGAGGATTTCCGCAGGTAGGGACCATATGAAGGTCTTGGTGTTGCATGGCTCATAAAGTGTCACACATTTGATCCCAAAGGGACCTAGTTGAACATCCACTTGACGTTTCATAAAAATGTCAGACTACAATCTGGAATCAGTAAAGATAATTATATATAGCAGTGACTCCATACTGCTTCCCTGAACAACCGCTTCGCCATCGGACTGGTTAAGTCAGTATGGTGGCGACTTATTTTTGGCTATAACTTTGTTAACGCTGATAAAGATATTTGAGATTAGATATACCATGATATCAGAATATACCGCAACAACTTGACACATGTTGCCTGTAGAATAGGATTCTAGAATACATCGCTTTCGAGGGGTGACCGAGTCACCAAAATTGATTTTGTGCTTCAAGGATGGTGCATCACTTTCAAGTGTTAGAGCGTTGATGTCCTGTGTATAGAAGTTAAGTCGAACACGATTTTGATATGGAGAATCTCACCTTCGAAGGTCCTAGACTGCCACGGAAGTCAGTCTTTGACATGAAGTCCTGTGATTGTATTGAAGAATGTAAGTCACAAAGAATAGAGATAATATATATATGAGGCGCACATCACGACAAGCACTTTTTGGACTGGAGATGCAACTTGTCGAGTTTCCCATCACAAAGGCAGGAGAAATGTATGATTGAAGATGACCTTGACGATGTTTTTTTACTCGCTTTAAGTCGCGCGAAGTTGTTGTGCCGGGGACAGGGAACCTATTGTTTAGTTCTGGATGTGGAGAAATCATTGTTGATTTTCCATATTCCTAGAGGATACAGCGGCACTCACAGAAGCGAGTATGGGTACTGGGAGACAATATACTGAATGCAGCCTAAGATGAAGTCTAGATGCAATATCGACTGTTGTTGTGAAGTTATGGTGGTCTTAGTGCTACTAGGGTTTGTGACTTGATTCAAAAATTACTGATTTAAAGATTACAAGTCAGGAACTCAACTAAATCGCAACTCACTATGCCGTGCACATCACGCAACAAAAAGACTGCACCCCGTAAGGTGCGCTTCAATCCATATGCTCGGCCCTACACTTCAAGCAATGAAAGTATTGCATTGATCACCACACCTCTAACAAGGACACTTGCCTTATTTATCAACGAGGAAGTGACATTAAATACTGCTGTAAGTAAATATGTCAAGGCCATGGCCAGCAGTGACTGAAATGGACATTCATAGCTTGAGTGGATGGGATCCGCTATGTTGATCGACGAAGCCCCTGTACTCGACGGGACAGGGAAGTCAGCAAGACGTCTCAATGCTGAACGTTGATCTGGCAGATGATAAGGTTCGCAATATTGTTATGTAGCTAGGCTGGAGGATTGACCTTACAGCCTCAAAGGTTAGAAGCACGTTCCTGGTAGCGAACTTGATGGCCCCTGATGCCAGTCACCATATGGGGCGACTATCTCCAAATAGAAGAAAACTTGTTCGCAACCTAGAGAAGGTGGTAAACAAGTGTATTGATCGTAATTGCGAAGGGGACCATCCTACTACTGACCTTTTATGCGAGAGGATCTATGCGGCACTTGAGGGAGCAGTATTGAACATAGAGGTGGATGAGATTATGTGCAGGCATGTCTCGAAAGCCGAGAACTCCAAAAACGACGACAGACACGTAAGATGGTCTTTCGGTTTCCAGTAACTCTACTGATGAACTCTATTAGAAGCTTCCAACAAACAATGACAATTTCATCCCACCTGCCACACAATGCATTTTTAATGGCATGAAATGTGGATTGTTCTCACTTGGAACAGTCCTCGGCGCGCAATCAGAACCACGTGGACTATCTCCATTCAAAGCAGTTCCAGAGCCGCTAAAAGTAAAATGTAAGTCAGGTGCACTGCCTGCTAGAATGCCAGGAGGATACCCAACTGCATAAGAATGTATACATATGAAACTTGAATGTACATTACATACACCAGTGTCAACTGCAGAATCGTTAGTTAGAACCAAAAATCAATGGATGACCACTTACACAACGGACTCTCTGACTGCACCTGGTAGATCAAGCCTCCCTATTCACAATTGTTGGTTTGCCTATAGTCCCGCTGGCACAGTCATCTGCAGTTCAGTAGATGTCACCAGACAACTTGTCAACAATACTAGTACATACAAAATGTCTGGGCTACTTTATTGAATTGAAAATCTACTAGCGAGCAACAATAATCTCCATCCTCTGGAACTTCTTCTTAGATACTGTGAATGATGGATGTTGGTCAGCCAACCAGGAAGGATTATAGAATGCTCTTGGCAGGCCTTCAGTTGCTATGCGAGAAGACTCCCAGTTAGTGTTGCGAAGATGCTTTGCAGGCTTGTTTCCGCGGGGAGTGAAGATTGAGGCACCCGTCAAACGCTGTTGGTCAATAATCTGCATCTTGTGACTGAAATCTGCCCTCCATGGCATACTCTTCTGATGAAAGACCTGAAGATCTCCATCTTCATGCTCACTCTCGTCAGAGCTCATGCCATCTTTGCCAAGATTCTCCACAATAGATTGTAGATATGCCCACACAGCCTTATCATCCTTCCCTGTCGCATTCCTATCACTCAATAGCGTCAATGTGACTTTTTTTCGAGTTTCGAACTTCTAGTGCATAGTTCAATACTCTTCTCTGAAAGAAACAAGGTAACTGACCGTCGCCCTGCGAGTGATGACCCTAGCGAGCCGCAGTCGCTCATTCGTCTGATCCACGAGTCGATCTCCCACTTGTTGCATGGTCTCGTGAGTACCGTTGCTGAGGCTGAGAGGCTGAGCCTTTCTCCAACACCTGCAGCATTGACTGAATTTCATTATGATATCATCTTTGATTGATTGAGGGGATCGCCTAGACCATTGGTTGATCGCTTGCAAAGTTGTATACTGGGTGCAGAGTAAATCAATGACTTTTTGGTTCCACTCGGACCTGTGTGTAGTCGCCATATCCCATTGCATTGCAAGTGGGTCAGGACCTGGGCCCGTTCCATGTGTGAAAGACAATATGGCTTTGCGCGACGCCAGCACATGAAGCATATACTCTTCGTCTTTTGTGGCGTGGAATGCAATTTTGAACAATTCTCGGACATTTGCCTGACATTGTTTCTGTGAGCAGAATCAATTGCTTTAAATAATCACAGACCTTGTTATCCCGGCGCTGGGTATCAGTAAAACTTTCGACAGGGGGTTTAGGCTGTTTGCGTCCTGAGCGAGGTCCCCAGGGAGACGTTGTTTGAGAATTCTGAAGAACCTTTGCGAGTGCCTTAGCAAGCATGCCAACAGTCGTGTTCCTGATCAGGACGTCTCCTAAGAGTGAAGTCAGGGGCATACTACTATCCATCTGGAGTTCCTCATCTGCATCACATTCTGAACTGGAATCAGAAATCTATGACGTGCGGTATCAGGAGACAGAATGAATGTGAGACTCGTCAACTTACTGGTGAAAATCCAATTATGTTGGTACATGTAGCCACAGGTTTTTTGCCCACAAGATGCCGCCAGGCAGGTGTTGACGCGGGTGATGCAGTGTTGGCATGTCAAATTTGACTCTGTGAATTCATGAGAACTCTGCATACCAATGTGTCGATACGTACATCCAACAAATTAATCTTGGAACTATACTTGGCATCCAAGCGGGTTAATTCAGCTTCATTGTCGGCCAAAAACCTATCTCTTGCTAAACGCATTTCGCGTTCAAATTGAACCTCTTTCTCTGCCAATAAGTGTTCTATTTCAGCGTGGCCCTCATTTTGGGCTTTATGAAGACCAAGTGCCATATTGCTCTGTTAATGCAAGTCAGAATGTTGATATGGTGGTGAAAGAATCCTACCTGAAGCTCTGCTACTTCTTTATGATGGTTCTGGTCCAAGGAGGCGAGGGCATTAGCATTGTCATGCTGAAGAGATTGGTTCTGTTGCTGATACTGTGCAATGGCCGACTGCATATCTGATTCGCAAACGTTCGAGGTGACCTGAAACGAGTTAAGTGTGAACGTGAGGGATGTGAGACTACATGCACCTGCGTGTTGCGTTTCCTGGAGTAGAAGATTATGGTTGCTAAAATGTAGCTTGCGCACATCTTCATGCAGCTTGAACGACTGATCAACTTCCTTGAGAAAGACTTTATTCGGCTAAATATTTGTTATTCGTTAGTTGACACAAGGAGCCGAATTGGACGTTCCTCACCCGCTGCTCATCGTCATCTCTTACCCTATGGACAGACTGCCAAGGATTATCTAACTCCATCGGACACTCCTTGCTGGAGGAAATAACTGGCTGCGGTGGGTATGTGTGAGTTATTGCTGAGGGACGACAGTCATTGTGATCTACACTAGCCAATGTACCACCCGCAGGTGGGTACGTATGGGCTGTGGTCGGATGAAGCTCGTTGAGAGGGTGTGACTCAATAGCTTCAGGGACCGCATCGTCCGAAGAGAAGAAGGACATTAGACGAGACATCTTGATGCAAGAAATTATTCTGCAATTCACAACTTATCTGAGGACGACTTACCTGGTTGTGTAACTGAGTGTGAAAATGTGTCACCTTAATTCATTCCTGACTACATACAAGCAAAACCAACCGAACAAAACAGACAATAAGTTCTTATCATGACTGCTTCTGATACATTCAACTACTGCTTCCCAACTCCTTCCGAAATGATGGGGTCTATTGAAATTTACGAGAACCTTTGTGTCGCGCCTTGGCAGAAGTATTTTTTAGTTGCATCTGAATCATATCCCCGACTGGCCAACTCCCATGATAATCAGCCAGTTCTGGAAAATGGCCTAGAGCCTTGAAAAGAAGTTAATATCAAGCAGCCATAGCAACCGCAGACATACCTCATTATAAACCTGAAGCAAAGCAGCTGGAGCTTGAAGTTTCTTGCTTTTGCCAACGTGACAATGCTTCTCGATAGACCGGTGAACGTATTCCTAATGTTATGTGAGGATGAAAAAAAATAATGATAAGTGCAATCCCACTTTGAGATTCTTGAAGTGCTCAGCATCCCAGTTAAGCGCCTTTTCCAAGTTGTACCCACCACGGCCAGGACGGCCAGCCTCGCCCTCCAGTTTGGGGATCTTGGAGTCCTTGGAATCTATGGAGGACAAGGAGGAATGTGTTGACACCTTCTCGGACTCACTGTTCTGTGTGAACTGTTCTGGCGAGAAGGAGACTAATTTGACGACTTTTGGAGTAGGCGTGGGAGGAGAAATGGGTGTGATTCCACAAGACATGATCGTGAAGACGTGGGAAGGAGTAGGACTGCGTCCCCTCAGTGGAAGGGTAGAGAACGCCATCTCTTCTTGTGGAGATAACAAGACGAGCCATAACGTATGACAAAACATCTCCGTATGATATGTCAGTAATGGAAGGGCCTGGGGAGGACCTTCAGATTCATGAAAAGGGGTGATGGGAGTAGAAAATTGAGGCATGACTGACTTAACTGAACAGAGCCAGGAAGATATTTGATGGATGACGGCAATCCGGGCCTAGATCGGAACCCAGCGCCCGCCCAGGGTTGCCTGGTAATGGCGTTATCGTCTTATTGTATGCCACCTTATAAAGGTGTTCAACTCAGTCTTGGCGTTTATAACTACCGATGCTTTTCCTATCCACCAACGGCTGCAAAGAATATTGGCTTGAAGGGCGCCTCATTGGACACAAGAATGCCATCAATTGCCTAGCGGTCTCTCGCAATGGAAACATGTTGGCAAGCGGGGGTCAGTCAAATATTCAGAATGACATTATACACACTCACCCGAGTACAGGCTCAGACGGCATGAGGATCTGGGACCTCAAACGACAAGTGCAGCTCCCAGCTCCACATCAAACCCCAGCCATCCAAAATCCAGCAGATCCGGTGACCTGCGCATGCTGGATAACTTGGCAAGAAGCAACATGCGAGACACTATGCTATGGCACAGGGCTGGGTTTCATAAGCATTTGGCAACAGCAAGGGGAAGAATAGAAGGACTTCCACGCAAAAGTATCAAGATGAATTGGGACAGGTAAAGAGATCATGTGTCTTACATATGACCATACCGGCGACGAAACTCGTATTGCAAGTGGAATGCGCGACAGACGGGTTCAAGTATGGGCATTTGACTCCAAAGGACCGTTGATACCGATCTTCAGTGTTAAGCTGTCCACCACGATCCCGCGCACTGTGCAATTCAAACGAACGGCAAGTAGAAACCTGTTAGTATTCGGGATGTATGACGGCGAAATGTAGGTGCACATGCATACATATTATCAATGAGTTCAATGGTGTTTTTTAGACATACACTTCGAGGCTCAGATGGTACTATCATTGGTACAAACAAGGCTGGACCTATGATGTGAGCGTTGGCATCAAACAAGTCAAAATCTACTCACCAATTTACCAAAGCGGGCACGCTGCTGTGGATGCCCCTCAGACACTATTCCTAATCGACAACGTGGTTAACGGGTTCAGCCTACATCGTTTGGAAGATGGAGCCTGCATCCGTACCTACAATACCAATCCAGTGAAGACATTCCCAAAACAGGTTGTTTTTGGGGACCGGGCTACCCTTGTTGTTGGAGGTAGCGACACAGGAACTATTCGGATTTTCGACAAGAATGATGGTGCCCTTAAGCAAGTATTGCAACACGCAGACAGGGGGTGAGTACAAACTGTAACGGTAAGTTATTTCATTGATCAAATGAACGTGAATTTGACCAAGTACAAGATGTACGACAGTCCACAACACAGCCTGATTTTTGGAGCAACATCTACCAATGACGCAGAACCAACCATCTCCATCTGGTGTCGCAAACGTGCGACATCACCAAGCGACCATCCTCTGGGGTCAGAGGTTAGGAATTTCGTGCGGGGAATAATCCAGCTAGCTATCGCAATGGCAATAATAGCATATGTTAGTAATATGGTACATGATATGTGATGCAAAACACGCACTGACTCATTAGAATGCAGTTGATTGAACATTTGTCGGGGATTACATCGCTGGGAAATGCCTGGCGAGAGTATTCAAAATTGGGGGCTCAAACGGCTGACCTAACAAATACTAACATCCGCTCCTTGGTAGAACAATATATTGAGGCACTGAGGGGTGAAGAACTTGAGAGAGCGCAAAGCTCGGGAGCAGATAGGAGACATGATGGACAAGCGAAGCTTGTAAAGCCACAAGATATGCTACATGAGGTCATTCTCCTCGGAAATTGATCTTGAATTTATTTAAGTACTCACCATGGGTACTGGAGATTCGAAGAGATGTATTATTTTGTAGCAACAATTTGGACTTAGGGCGTGAATTACTTCATGTCATGTAGATCGGAGTGCGCACTTACATCCAAATTGAGTGTTCCGAAAGTGTGACCGGCCTGGGGAATGCACCGCATGGAACAGGCAGCTTTCATCGAGTGAATCACTCTAAGTTGCATTCCAAGTCAAATTCTTAAGTCTTACATCATAATCTAATCTATGTGGTACAGTAGATAATGAACACTTGCAGTAGTGAGAGTCCGAAAGGAAACCAGATTGTTGAATAGGCACTACCTATATACTGAATGACTACATAATCAAACTCCGCCAGAAATATTACTGAGGCGCCCACTTTGCACCCACTCGACAATTTGGAAAGTTCTGCTGAATCGGCATTGCCAACTGAGTTTTAATATGTAAGTCATTCTGTATTTATGGCTGCGTGTTTCCAAAATAATCTTTTTTCCGATTCCTGTAATGTGAATACGTAGTGTAGTGTAGAAGTGTAGTGTGAGTCATTGTATACATCCACCCACCCACTCATACACTATTTACTAGTAGTAGTGGGCTGCTAGGACTTGACAATTAAAGACAAAAAACAGTGCTATGGTCCACAATACCTTCAACACAATAGACAATTTGCGGTGTCCACCGTTCACCATCCACAATCTCAATCACACCTGCTGCTCTAGCCATTCACTATAAATACTGATCTTGCGCCTTCATGGTTTTCTTTCCGCTACTATCACCACGATACGACAGACTTTGCATAGACTACTAAATAAGTGAATATAGTGTGTAGTGTTCTAAGTTTACTTGTGATAATGCTGAACTCTAGACTATAGAAATCATGTCCAAACGTGCCGCATCTAATGACGATGCACCCACTCCAAAGTGCATCAAAATTAATGACAGTAAGTAGCAATATGATGTTCCTGACATCGTTATTCATGAGCATATCACAGGGAATCAGACAGCACCACTGGCGGATAAGCATGCATGGGCAATTTTGGAGCAGTTTCTTACGACAGACATGACGTACACTCAGATGGAAGAAGCTCTTTCATTGTACCTCGGCAATCGATATTCTGTGGACGATTGGAAGGAATCCCAAGATGCACTATTTTTCGGTGACAGTGATGACAACCTCGCTTTGAGAAATCTTCATGCTGTGAAGGCAAAGCACATACACTCGGTGTCTGCTTCCAGTGATTCTTCCATGGCTGACAGACTGTCCAGTGCGTGCGTCCAAAGTTCGCATAAACCAGCCAAAGTAAGCAAAAATAGGATGACTCTGATACCCTCTTATGCTAATGAATCTCTAGTTAAAAAATCCCTACCTCGATCTGGCTGCAGAGGAGGGGGAGGAGGAGGAGGAGGAGGACCACAACCATAATGGTCCCTCTGGGTCGTGGAAGGTTACATCCTTGCCAGGATCATCATCGGCCGCTAGGTTTGCCATGGCCATCAATAACATCACGCATAGATTCGCGACGACACAGCATAGCTCATCGCAAGATCGCCAGAATATTCCCTCCTCGATATCTGACTTGATCCCTTCGAGAAGTTCAACTGAGCTGCAGGGTGGGAGGATGTATCTTCTTCATGTCCACTGTAAGTTTTTCTATTGATTTAATGACATTCTTCACTCATTCTTCACTCATCGATCACAGGAAGTGTTACGGATTATATTGCTGCACACCTTCGCAAGAAACATTTTATCGTTAAGGTGTCAGCTTGGATACCCGGTCAGCTTTACGTGGTTGCAGACAGCCCTAAAACAATCGCAGACTCGCTTCCTTCCTCGCTCTACCTAGCTGTCAAGCAATATGTTCATATATCAGATGACAAACGTGAAGAGGTCGAGTGTTCTTACTGCAAGCTTCCCAGCCCAGCGTAGGTGAGGATCAAGCATGGCAAGTATAAGGGTGACATAGCCCAAGTCTTCAATTCCAATCTACCGAATGATTTCATTGCGGTCTTGGTTCCACCACAGGATTTCCCATACTCCATGCCTCCAAGATCTCGATCCCTACTTGACCGATCCCGTCTTCCGAACGGGAACACAGTTTCCAACATCACTCATGGCGGAAAAAATGTAGGATGTGAATACAAAGGAGAAAAGTATTATATGGGCCTCCTACTTCACAGCTTCCACCGTGATTGCCTAGAACATGTTGTCTGTCCCCCATGCTGACAACATTCAGCTCCATTTACAATCCGGGTGGGAACAATCATTCCTCAAGAGAACTGTGCTTGCATTTTCGATGCAGTTCTTGCATGTGGGCAACTGCACCAAGATCGTTCAAGGAGATCTCAGTTCAGAAATCGGGAAGGTTACCTCAACCGACCATCCTGCTGGTTCTTCCACCTTGGAATTGAGCTTGAGTGGACAGCGAAAGGAAGTAGAGCTTTGACTGCAGGACATAGAGCGCATGTTTCAGATTGGTGACATGGTTCAAGTTGTAGCAGGCCCATACTTGGGTGTGGAAGGCCACATTATTCAGATGGTAAATGATGTATTTCATCTTTGTCAAGACATCTCGAAGGAAGAGGTGAGTGTCTCTTTCCACATATTACAGTGACCTATCTCCGTATAATACAAGGGAACGGACGTGCATAATATCCCATATGATACGGGCCAGCGGACCATGGGCCCATGATAAAAATATCCTCGACTATGACAGATGGGCCAGGAGGCAAATTATTCCTGATGGAGGCGGGTGGGCCCATGCAGGGAATATATAGAGTAGATGAGTGGGCCGATGTACATGAATATTAGGTAGATGGGTGGGCCGAGGTAGTTGGATATTATGCAGATGGGTGTATTAAGGTAGATGTGTATGAGATAGATGGGTAGGTACTTGTTATCACATTCATGGGTGGGCCCAGACACATATTAAATTAGACGGGTGGGCCGAGGGTATTATAAAATATTGTATTAGATGGTTGGGCCCAGACGCATATTAATTAGACGGGTGGGCTGAGGGTGGTATAAAATATAGATGGGTGGGCCCATGTGTATCATAATTGTAGACATGATGGAGCTGAGGTAGTTGTACATCAACCAAATCAGAGGAGGTAATAAATCAAAGTTACCAAGTTCCCGGAGCAGCAGGTGATCTCCTGACATGGCCTTTGATGGTGCATAGGTTGTCTTGCAAAATTTGGAATCCGGGGTGCGAAGCTTGTGTTGCCCTATGAGATGCCAAGTTCCAACCACCCAAATTTGGGTCAACCGTACCGACTTCCGAGTTCCGGGACCCGGGAGTTGACAAATGAATATCTGATAACCAGCACACTTCCAATCAGGTAGTATTTCATTGAGCAATGGATCATCCAAGGGGTCCCTTATTGGACTCAGTAGTCAATATAGGCAAATGATAATGAAAACATGAAAGTTGTTATTATGCTATTTTTCAAACCCAAGACCCTGAAACCCATTGTTCAACATGTCCATTTTTCACTCACTGCACAAATCACCGAGTTTCGAGTGCCGAAACCTGAAACTCGAAACCTGGCATGCAACATGTTGATTTTTCATTTATATTACACAGATCATCAAGTTCTGAGTGCCGAGGGCTGAAACCCAAAGCCTGAGACCCGAAAATATGTACACAACATGTCCATTTTTCACTCATTGCACAAATCACCGAGTTTGGAGTGCCGAAACCCAAAACTCAAAACCCAGCATGCAACATGTCCATTTTTCATTTACATTACACAGATCATCGAGTTCCGAGTGCCGAGGGCCGAGACCCGAACCCCAAAAATATGTGCGCAACATGTCCATTTTTCACTTGTTGCACAAATCACCGAGTTTCAAGTGCCGAAACCTGAAACCCAGTACTTCACATGGACACGAATTGTATTTGTATGTATTATCCATTGGTGTAGGGTTCAAATAACTTGGTAATTGTATTTGTCAGTACTTGGTACTTGGTACTCGGTGATCGGTGGTCAGTGGTCGGTACTCGAGACTCGGTAGTCAATATAGGCAAATGATAATGAAAAATGACAGTTGTAGTCCACATCAAGGTGAGTGTCTTGGTAGTCTTTCCTTGTCATTCGGCAAAACATCAGCAATAATGAAAAAATGAAAGTTGTTATTATGCTTAACTTCCTTACCGAAGGTTGTAGTCCAAGTCCAGGTGAGTGTAGTGGTAGTCTTTTCTTGTCAATTGGTTATCTTGTTACTCATTATGCAGTACTCGGTACATGGTAATTGGTACTCAGTATTTGGTTTTGATACTCGGTACCCGGGAATCAGTAGTCAGCTTAATGAAGGTTGTAGTCTGAGTCTAGGTGAGTTTATTTGTAGTCTTTTCTCATCCATTGGTTACCATGTGACCGAGATATAAGCTAAAGAAATCCGAAACATCAATAATGACAAATGAAATACATGTGTGCAGTAAGTGAGTGTAAAGATAAAAGAATGAATATTAATAGCGAGACTTGCACATTATGTCGAGATATCCAACATAACAAGCCTGTGATGTGATGAGAGACCTGGAATAACACCCATATACATCCATTATAATAGCTTAAAAGCCTAGAAAGATTCATGAAGGATTGATGTAATGATAGGCAAAATGACATATGTGTGGAGAGTGACAATAGACATCTTTTATACAAAGTCACATTTATATATGATTCAGGCCGAAAATATCATTACAAATATGTAGGATAGATCGTAAACTACCCAAGGAACCCATACTGCCTACTGCCCTGAGGGTAGGGGGTGGGTAGAAGGGATATAGTGAAAATATGAGTTGACCCAGCATTAAAGTCCTACCACTGCTCAACTAACCATTTTCGATGCTTTGGGTCTTTGAAGTTTCCCACACTCAATTTCTTACCCATTTCACTTCCTCAGTACTCAATTCTTGGTTGATTTGTCTGTAAATTTATGTCTATGATACTTAAGATATTTGAAATGTACCCCAGGTTTCTGATTACGAAGATTCAATGTTTTGAAGGCATGGGCCCCTTATCAGGCAAAATGGCAAGTATACACACTAGCTCACAAACTCCAGCCTATTGTGAGCTGATCTTGGTCATAAGAAGCAAGAATATAAGCTATGCTCATTATATATCAAAAGGTTGGATCATGGATCCAAGGGCAAGATACTGAAAATCATGAAAAAAAGTCAAAAGTGCAATTGTCTATGCTTTGTTCCTGGAGAAGGATCCTGTGTGTCCTGGGCTGGTTATATGATATATCTACTCCGAATATGCTCAGGAATAGACTCCCTACAGTCCTTGAGGTCCAGTCCTACAGGGAAAAAACCCCAGCGGGTGAACCACCAGAAGAGGGGGAGGTACACTATACAATAAAGGATTACCCTATGGTCCTGAGCTCCTGATACATTGTTTCTATTGTTGAATAGATGATTGAGATATAATTTCAAAGTCTATTCACCTAGAAATGAACACATAGGAACATATTTTGTATTTTTATGTATATATGCAATATCCATTTAAGCACCAAGTCTCAACTACCGATTACCAAGTCCCGACACTTGATAGTTGATAGTCAGTATTCAAGCTCCGAGTGCCAATATTGCCTACCAATATCTCAGTCAAATGATAACCAAACCAAGACCCAAGTTCCAAACCTGACTACCGAATACCAAGTATCAGTACTCAGGACTCGGGACTATTGGCTGGAGTACCCAACTATTGATTCCCAGGTACCGAGAATTAGAACCAAGTACCGAGTACCTGACTACTGATTCTCGGGTACCAAGTATCAGAACCGAGTACCGAGTACCCGACTACTGATTCTCGGGTATCGAGTATCAGAACCAAATACCGAGTACTGATTCCCTTGTACCGAGTACCGAGTAACGAGATAACCAATTGACAAGAAAAAACTACCAATACACTCACCTTGGCTCGGCCTACAACTTTTGTTCAGGAACTTAAACATAATAATAACTTTCATTTTTCATTATCGCCAATGTTTCAGATTTCTTTAGCTTATATCTCGGTTAAATGATAACTGATGGACAAGAAAAGACTACCAATACACTCCCCTAGACTCGGACTACAACCTTCGGTAAGGAAGTTAAGCGTAATAACAACTTTCATTTTTCATTATCATTTGCCTATATTGACTACCAACTACCAACTACCGAGCACTGACAAATACAATTCCCAAGTTATTTCAACCCTACACCAATGGATAATACATACAAAGACAGAATTCATGTCCATTTGAAGTACCGCGTTTCGGGTTTTGGCACTCGACACTTGGTGATTTGTGCAATGAGTAGATGGGCATGTGGCATACATGTTTTCGGGCTTTGGGTTTCAATATTCAGCCCTTGGCACCCAATGATCTGTGTAATGTAAATGAACAATGAACATGTTGCACACCAGGTTTCGAGTTTCGGCACTTGAAACTCGGTGATTTGTGCAACAAGTGAAAAATGGAAATGTTGCATACATATTTTCGGGTCTCGGGCTTTGGGTCTCGGCACTCGGCACTCAGAACTCAATGAATTGTGTAATGTACATAAAAAATGGACATGTTGCACACTGGGTTTCAAGTTTCATGCTTTGGCAGAACTCGAAGCTGTTGTGATTTAGATATCACCCGAAACCCGAACACCCAAATGTCAAATTTTCAGTGCCGAACCCCAAGTGCCAGGTACCGGCTGCCGGGTGCCGAGTCCCGAAACCCGGAACTCAGGATTTGACATTTGAGATGAATGAAATTTTTCAGACATGTTTGAATTAACCTACGTATATCTATAAACATTTCACTAACCCCCGAACCCCGAAAGATATTTTTGTTGTCTTACATACCGAGTTCCGAGACCCCTGAAACCCGAAACCCGGCAGTCCACAATTTCAGGGTTCGGGGGTTGGTAAAATGTGTATGGATATATGAAAGATTGATTTGAACATTTTTGAAAGATGTCTCATATCAAATGTCAAGTCCCAAGTTTTGATTTCCGGGTTTCAGGACTCCGGGCTTCAGGACTCGGCACTCCCGAAACCCGGAAATCAAAACTCGGGACTTGACATTTGATATGAGACATCTTTTAAAAATGTTTAAATCAACCCTTCATATATCCATACACATTTTACCAACCTCCGAACCCCGAAATTGTGGACTGCCGGGGTTCGGGGTTCGGGGGTCCCGGAACTCGGAACTCAGTATGTGAGACAACAAAAATATATTTCAAAAATGGGTAAGTCAATGTGTTTGTCAATCAACTCGGTTGTAAATCAAATTTTATTGATCTCCCCAAATTTCCCAAGTCCCGAGTGCCCACCCCCGAGACCCGGCAGTCCACAATTTCGGGGTTTGGGGCTTGGTAAATCTTGGTTTGGGGGTTTTCCACTTCAGTCCTCAATTATTGGTCAATGCCACACATGGTCGATTCATGTTTTCATGCTTAGGGGTTTAGATTTGGTGGTCGATGGTAGGTATATGCACTCATAGTGTACATGTTTGATTCGCTGGTGGCTACATCAGCTGTATGTCTTGATGAAACATATCTAGGTTCACCCATATATGTACCCATCTATGTACAATTCCCCCACGTCAGCCCACCCATCTATGTATTATCCCCCACGTCGGCCTACCTGTCTATGTAATACATCCTATGTTGGCCCACCCGTCTATATAATACATCCTACATCGGCCCACCTGTCTATGTAATAAATATTTTATCGCACCCTCGGCCCACCTGTCTATTTGATATCTCTTTCGTCGGCCCACCTGTATATGTAATACACCCCACATCAGCCCACCCATCTATGTAATATTCCCCTACCTCGGCCCACCCATATATGTAATACACCCCCATCAGCCCACCCATCTATATAACAATATTTGCCTTACATCTCTCTTCAGCCCAGCTGTCTATAATATCCTACTCTACATATTACCCAGATGGGCCCACCCATCTCCATGAATGATCATATTCCCCCGGCCCATCGGTCAACATCAAGGATATATATATCATTGGCATACATGGGCCCACCTGTCTCCATCGGAAATAATATGTTTCCCGGCCCATCCATCATCATCGAGAATATACACAACATGGGCCCATAATCCGCTGGCCTGTCTCATACGGGATATTATGTAGGCCGGGTGGCCCGTATAATACAGAATTTGTCACTGAAGGGGCTCCTCTTTCCACTTCAGCATTTTGCAAAACCATCTAACACAACCTATAGGTGGAAGTTTCAAAGTACTATCTAGACTACTGCCCTCTGAGCCACACGTTGCAAGCACAACTACCAATGCAGCAACTCTTTAAGCCTCCCCCCGATGTTGAATCCATCCAAATGGGAGATTATATAGAAGTGCTTATTGGGGAGCACATAGGGAAGTGTGGCATCGTGCGTTGGCTGCCCAAAGGAGCAGACAGTCTGTGGTTCCAGGACGGAACATTGAACATTCCAGTTCCCATTTCATTTATTTGGTGGTCCCACCTCCCCCACCTCCAGACATTGCAGTACACGAAAGACAGGGGTTACGATGTTAAACCTGGAGATGTTGTAAGAGTGGTTCGTGGGCCAGAGTATCTGACAAAAGGGGTTGTTCAAAGCATCGACTTTCCAAAAGCTCGCTTGACCCTACTCTCTGACATTGACCATTCACTCGTTAGTAATATTTTCCTCAACCTACGCATATCTGACTTTTTCTAGGTTGACGTTCATATGCAACGCCAACTTTGATTCTTTCAAAAAGGAAATCAGTCAAGAGGTATTTATCATTGGAGGCGACCGTAAGGGCTACCGAGCCACACTGTACAGTGTCACCTCCGAGACTTGCACTGTTGCCGTGCATGGGCAGCAGTGCATCAAGATAGAACTCAAGGATGTTGCAAGCAGGAAAGCGTCATGCACATTTCATGGTGGATCAATTGCTTATATGTGTTTAGGTACAGAATGAGGTTAAATGGATCGATACTTGAAGGAATAGACATGTTGTCTTTCTGCGAAATGCGGAGAAGATCGTACTTGGCCGCACAACCTCGAAGCATCACCCCCCCACCCGAAAAAGTTCCTTCATCAGTTGCCATCACAGGCACAGGCACGTCGACATCCATGTGGACCGCCTGGACCTCCAGCCCCAAGGATCAGGCCGGTAATCCTTTGCCCAGTGTCAATCCCAACTCTTTGACTACTGAATCCAACCCCTGGACTGTCAATGCCAACGATACACTAGATAGCATCGATGCTCGAACGGAGAAACTCAAAGAGGGTGAGTCTCTCTACGAAGGCATTATAACATTCACCTTATTTTGTCCTAGGCCCGCTAGCTTGGCTGATGAAGAAGGAATTTTCTTCCAAGCTCAACACACATCACGTGATGTTAAAAGTCTCGCCCTCCTTCATGGGAGGCAGGCTACACAACCAGTTTGTATCGACAGCCTGTCCTGATCCCTTCCTCGGTCTAAATGGACCTGCTCCCGATGGTTGTGTTGCAGTGTTTTGCTCATCGAACAGTGCAGGCACCGCGATTCAGCACTATCATATACCAGTCACAGATCTGAGCCCAGCCCCTCCCCGCAAAAAAAACCAACAGTGCCTTGTTCTGGACGGGAGTCATCGCGGTTCCATTTGTAATGTAGCTAAATGTAACATTAAGAAGAACACTATGGATATTGTAATCGCTCCTTCGACTTCTATTAATTTGCGTTTCGATCAAATCTGTCTTGTAGAACAGGTACGCACGACTACGTGACCATTATCGTACCATACCCGTACTATACCATACCATATCACTTACCAATAAACACTTGATTCTCTGTTGCGCTCTTCCGTGTACCGAATGCCCGATGAATCCCTCATGAACGCCCAATGAATGCCCGCTGAATGCACAGCCAGTGCCCATGTCATTTTACCATGCAGGAAACTTCACATTTTCTGTATCACATTTCACCATCGGGAAAATTTAAATTTTTAACCGGAATGAGAATGCTGGCCATTATATAATATTTTACAGAATATTTTCTGTGCTCAAATTTTCCATTTACCAATGGATATAATTGGATTACAAAACTTCGTATCTGCATTTTCATTTTCCTAAGCGGAAAACTTCCAATATCCTTATCTATTTGGACAGGACTTAAAAGTTTTGTCAAAATGTGTCACTTTCTCTGTCAATTCATCATGCATCTAAATGTGTTGTTGTGTCGATATCAAAATTTAAACTGAAAATCCTTTATTTATCAATCCCATTTTGATTTCAGTCTAGCTTGTGGGAAAATTCAGAAACCGCCAGTGTGTCACTTCGAACTTTCCCAAGAATGTTGATACAGCGGCCTTGTCACAACACAAACTGGGCATCGAGTCTGAATTCTACATGTGCGTAATATCACAGCATATATTCATTCCTGATTTGGGACTCCGTACTGAAAGCGAGCAAGTCACACCTGCTAATTAAAAAGAAAGGGATTCTGCACTCACGGGAACAATACATGCATGAACCCAGAATAGGTAAAGCAGAAAATGTCAACACAGAATTCGATCAACATATTAATGACACCGAGAAAAAATTGACATGGTCATTGAATCGGTAATGGTGGTTCCCTGGGGCAATGATAATGCTACAGGCTAGCTTTGAACGTCCTTGGATCTGAGTGACTTGAATCTTGTTATGGAGTGGGGCAATACATCAGTAAATCATGAGTTCACTTTTCTAGCTTTTTTAGCATTTAAATAAGTGACCTGTTACTCATTTTCACTTTTTCCCACTATTTGTTTGGACGTGAAAAGTTCGTGCTTTGAAATTAAGTAACCAACATATAATAAGCGGAAAAGTCGGCAAAAAGTGAGTAAGGTGAAAAGTGAGCGACAAGGAACAAAGTAAACAAAATAATAGAAAAAGTGAGTTACACTAAGCTGCTATTTCAAACGCATGATGGTCAGCATATTTGTTGACATAGAAAAGGGTGAATATGTCGAGAATGTGGTGGGATTTAATTGCCGGGGGGAGCATATCAGTACCGTAGACTGGAATAAGGTGAGTGGAACGGAAAATACTATCCACATGGATCACCGCAAAGTGTGTGCGACCATCAACAGAGGAAGGCTCTACCATCCACATTCCGGTATTGTCATCTGGTGCATTTCCAACTCGGTTGAACCAGCAGACAACTGTGCATGGATAGCGTACATCCCTGAGTCGAAAGGAAAAAAATGTGAGTACCTGAGCAATATCCATGCCACGCATTCCGTGAGCATTTGAGTCAGTAATGACAAGCACGCAATCTTTGCATGCATGTCCAGTTCTCCACTTGGGAGACACGCGAATGTACTCGTGTTTCATCCCACCAATCCCACTCAAATTGCTCGGTGCGAAGAACATTGATACTGCAGAATTGAAGACCCGTATCCTCCCATTGAAATGAGGGCAGTCCATGATACTCTCAGGAACTTCGGTAGGGTCCTTGTCCGGATACAGTTGTCCGATGAGGAATTGCGAGACAAGATCAGCCAGATGTGGGATATCAAGCTCATTGGCTAGTGCAGGGACACTTTGTGCCCGCTTTTTCCCTTCTATTTGAATTCATAGTTAGCACATTAAGATAGAGAATATAAATAAATGACATACAAGATGTTCGCGCAAGTTCGACGTGTGCAAGGACAGACATCAGTGCGTCAATGTCCTCAAAGTCCACAGCAACATCAGTGTCAGCCATACTGGCACTTTTTGGTATACTGGGTTCTTGTTGGTCCGAGTGAGTAGTATGGGGCTCTTCTACATCACTTTGCGCAGGGGAGATAGTAGTGGCAGGTCGTCCATCTGCTGATGGTTCTAGTAGTAATGAGAATGAGAATTACATATTAAACGAGATAGCGGCAACATACCGAGTGATGCGAGAACAGCAGATACACATGTACCTGCAAGCATTCCACGAAAACGGAAATCCACCCGTGACATTGCCAATTTATCCAAATGCTGATTAGTTAGCAGCATCTGTCCTAGTGCCTTGTATCGGCCGGAACGCCTCCATGGCTCTTTGACGGCTTTGATATGTTTGGACTCCGTGATCAAGGAGCACAGCCCATTTGGAGCACCAAACAGTCAAATAAGGCGGGCATAGTGAACCATAGAGTGTTGCCTAGGAAGTGAGAAAGTAGTGACTACTCCAGTCATCTTGAAAATCTCACGATATGTATGAAAACGAGTCAGCGCATCTTCAATTTCAGAGAGGGACTTCTCGTTGATGACGTTACGACGGACAAGGTAACAGAACTCAAGTAATGCCCGGAAGGAACGCACGACATCCACTGGCACATATCCTTCAATGGCAGGCAAGTAAACCTTAAGACAATCAGTGCTACAATATTTTGTATAGAATAAAATGTAGATTACCTTCATAAGTGCTTTCAAGTCGTCACCTGTCCACTGTTTGAAATGACGTCCTTGGGGAAATCTACGCAATCCAGGAAATGGAGGGACTGCCGCAATTCTATGAAAAATTAAGTCTAAGTAAAATTACAGTAAAGAAAACGCACCTTCGGTCAATGTCATCTAGGATAATATTAGCTTGCCTCTTTCCATGTGTCTGCAGGAGATACTTCTTTACCCAATCAACCAAATGATCTTTGTATGCCCCCTTGATGAGCTGATGGAGAATGTCAGGTGCAAGCAACTTGTGAATATCAATGCGGGGGAAATTGTTCATAAACGGCTGCATTCATGAGTGAATCTAAGTACTAATGAAACTAAGGGAACAAGTTACCACAAGCTCGCCAACTATACCATATTCCGAATGCAAGGTTCCAGAGTCGCACTCTTCGATTAGGGCATCTGTATGAGATCAACAGAGACTGACATCATCGAGGTTTCCGTGACGTGAAAGACATCTTGCTCGGCATAAGCATAAATAACAGTAGGTCATCGAGAAAAACTTACTTGGCGCACCAATTTCGAAATATACAGGCGAGCAGCACCTGCTCTTCATAGTCCGCAATGTAAGGTCCAAGCCCATAGATCACGCGATGGTAATGGCCATCCCCGAAGTGTGTGACCTCAGGCTTCGTCATAGCAGGCTTGAGGTTCTTGAGGATGAATGAAAGTGAGGAATGAAAGAGTTGGTGTCAGAAATTTCGGAAGCCTGGTGTCTCGGCATGCTCTTTGGTTGCTTTTTAAGATGTCAGAACAATGCAACAGGGAACAAGTGACCACTTACTTTTGGGCATTGCAAGAAAGCCTATGACAACTACAGCATTACAATGAGCACGACGCATATTATTCTGAATGTTACCAATGGAGGCATAGAGTGGATAGTAGTCATTCTGCCCAGTGGCAACTGAAACGGTTGTTTTGTCACTTCCAAGAATGACCGGCACGAATGTGGAGCCATGAGTGTCAGGATCTTCGGATATCTTGTCCTGTAGATGCCTTAGTTGAGACATACACAATGAGATAATGAAAGACATACAGCCTGAGCCCAGCTCCAATCTCCGGATATGAAATCTTTCCATTGGTGTTCATCATTCTCTGTTGCAAACTCACGGTAGGGTTGAAAATCCATCTCCGCAGCAAAGTCTGGATTAGCGAGCATATTTCAAATAACGTCGTGAGGATCGCGAAACCAAACTTCATGGGAATCTTCCATCCAGGGCAGGGCACCTTCATCTGGAATTGTGCCGGTGTATTTGGCTGAAAAGGATTGCCACTTAATGTCGCTGAGGGGAGTATTGTCAATCGTCCTGTAGAGGTCGCGATGATCGGAGAACAGAGTGTGTTTACCCCCAGCTTGGATCAAGGAAGCTGACCAAATGTTCAGGAGCTGGTCAATCGAATTGGCAGGAGTTTGATTCTTCGTAAATAGGTAGTCGGCCAGCTCAAATTCGACGCAGCTCCTGTAGGGAGTCCAGTCGTCCGGTGACTTTTCTGTGAGTGGTGGTGGAGGAGTTCCTGGTGGAAGGAATACGCCCTCAGGATCACAGGGACGAGCTATGTAGGTATAATGTAGGTATATTTTTAGTACTGTTAAACAAAAATAGAGCGGTTGAACTTACTGGACAAGAAAGGGTGATAATTTCTATACAACTGGTCACCAGTGCCAAAGAATTCCGCCCTTACTTGCGGAGGATCTTCATCATCCATGGGACCGGTGTTACCAAAGTCCATGGGGCCAAGCCCAGGGCTTGGTGGATGAGGTGGCAATTGAGTTGGTGCAGGTGGTGTTAGGAAAATGGGGTGCTTCGCGTTCACATGCTGAGTATGCCCCGACCGATTCCTAAACCAGCGGTTGCACCCTGCCTTCATACAAGGGATGCATAGTCTGCTGGGCTTGCAATGTGACTGAGGCATGATCCTCAGAACCTGTTGTAGTACGCCCTTGCCTTGAGTATTTAATATGTGAAAAAATGCAGATGAACTTACCGGAGACTGAGTACAGGAGGGAGGGGTGGTACGCCCTTGCCGATGTTTGAGGGTGATGTGTAAAAATGCTTGATGGACTTGACTGGAGACTGAGTGCAGGAGGGACTGTTGTTGACAGTGCTCATTAGCCTAGTAAATGTTGGAGGTGAATATACATACCTGTAGCGAGTATAGGCGGACTTGGAAAAATGGTATCGAGTGCTACTGAAGGGTTGTTTGTTTGCGTTTAGGAAATTTTGTACATTGCACTATGTTTGACTCACCTTTTATAATCAATGTCCTTTGCCGCATTCCTCTCCTTGCCTGCCATTCATATCTGTTATGGCACCTCCCATCTCCCCTCGCCGTACACGTGTCAAAAACGCCACACAACGCCCTGGGCTTGTGCTTCTTGAAGGTAAAAAAAAACGACGTACTTAAGCCCAGATCAAAGAAGACAAACAGCGTGCCAAGGAGGCGCAGGCTGCACAGGAAGCTGCCCTGCAGCATGGAATCGACCATATCGCAGGTATCGAGGCTGCCATGGAGGTGGAGCAGGGCACTCAGTCAGCTGCGAAAGCGAAGCCGGTGAAACCTTGTGCTAGACCAGTCAAGAAAAAGTTGAATGGGGCAGTTGCAGCTAATGAGCTTACCTCTAGCAGTCTCCCTGTGGCCCCAGCACCGGCTAATAAGGGTCAAGGCAGCATGAAGGGTCAAGGCGGCATGAAGAGTCAGGGTGTTGGTGGCATAGGGGAAGGAAGTAGCGGAGCGGTTGGGAATGAGATCACAAAGAAGACAAAGAAGAAGCTGCATGAGGCTGCAACAAGGCAAATCCTTGATGGCGATCAGCAAATCGAAGTTGAAGTACCCGATACTGACAAGAAAGGAAATCATGTACTGTCAGTGAACTTGTCTTCTCACCATCATGTTGATGCTCACCGAATCCACGCTGCGCTTTATGACACTGACTTGGGCACTTAGTAATAAAAAATGCTTGGCAGGGAAGGTCAACAACTGGCAAAATCGCCTGGAACCTGAGACCGAGTCAGCGGTGTCCCCTGTTGTGAGAGCTGAACCTGAACCTTCAGGTGGCTCTGTTTTGTCAGCAACAACCCGGCTGAAGACGAGTCAGACTGCAGCAACCACAATCTCATTTGCAAAAGACCCACCACTTTCCTTGACAGATTCATCGGACAGTTCTATATTGGACAATAGTGAGGACGGAGGCAATGAAAAAGATGGTGATGAGGATGGTGATGAGGATTCCAAAGAGCATCCGGCTGCTCTCGCAGACAGTGTGAAAGGGAAGGCAGGAATGAAGGTGAGTCTCTCATTTTCACTTTTGTTTGATGCACACTCACAGTATTTAACTTAGTCTGTCGTACAGATCGCTGAAAGTTTGGATGATGGAATGTCCGAAGTACAAGTATCGACACTGTTTCATCTGCTGCCATTTAGTCAACAAGCTGACATAGTGAGATTTGCCCTGGAGCAGGCCCGGCCTCATGCAGCTTCATCGACAAAGAGAACGATTGAGGAAGCCAGATTGATAGGCTCCTCCGAAGACTATGATCCAGATGACATTGAGGAGGAGGAGGGGGAAGAGGATGAGTTCGTCACTGACTCTAATAGTATGTTGGTCGATGAAGATTCTTCCTCAATTGTAGAGGTTCTTAAGCCAACATGCACTACTACAAAGGTGAGTGTTTTTTTAGTCTTTATGATGCTAAGATATACTCTACTAGACTAGTGTGACTGTCGCTAGCACCGAGAAACCGAAACCACTCAAGAAACCGAAATTGGAACCGGCACTTCTAACAATCTCTGAATCTAGTTTGATGTCTGCTGACTTGGCGACAAAGCCCAAATCTGGCAACCAATGGGGAAACACGGATCTCCCACCAATTATGCTGGAGGATGGCGCATGGCGCAGGAGCTTTATCCCGACAGTTTTTCTTTGGGCAGGTGCTCAGCCAAATTTTTGGTGCATTGAGGCCGAAAAATTACACCCAGCACTCCAGGCCATTTTTGACATTGCATTTCCAGGAATGAATCACAATGTTCAACCAAAAGGTCCCATTATGGGCTTGGTATGTCTCACTCTTATTTTTGTATCCGACTATTTTAACTATTACCTGAAGGTGAATCAACGTCTTTGCTCCTGGCGCAGCAATTTCGAATCAACAGCCATTGCCCTCATCACCAACTTTCTGGCCACCTCTAAAGATAACGACATCGACGAGGAGGAGGATGAGGACGACTATGAACAGGAGCTAGCAGCAAGTCTTCTCGAGAACTGGGCCTTTCTCTATGAGGACCTGGATAATTGCGACCCAAACAAGATCTATCGGTCGGTATTCATACTGGAAATGATCGAGTCGGCTCATATCAACGCAACTGCCGGATCCCTCGATGTACCAGCACTCAACACAGATGCTCTACGGCTGAATGGCATGCAAGGTGTCATCGCTGCAAGTGCCGCTGCTGTAGGTCATATCTGTGGGTTTTAACTTTGATTAACAGTCTATTTTTGCAGCTCAAACATGCTTTCAATATTGCTGCAAAGCCGAAGAATTTTGCCGATACGTTCAGCACTGGAACCAGCAGTGTGAAGGGCAGTATTAAGGCCTGCAAAACGCCCCTGAAGCGCAACAAATCTACCAGTAAGGACAACACTATAGCATCAGCCTTTTCAGAGGCAAACTGCGGCTTGGCAACATCGGAATACTATGCATCCCTCCAGAGGCGAGGGATGAAGTACACGATAGACACGATTGCTTTGGTGCGTCAGCGGCAAGCAGCCCAAAACGCTACTTCTGAGGACTCACTGAAACCGAAGGGCAAACGTGCCATGCTCTGTAAGTAGTTTTTACTTGATATATGCTTTACTGACCGCTGCATGTCCAACAGAATACTTCTTGGTTTCGTCCTTCATTTTCCGAACGCTCTGCTTGCCCCAGTACCTTACACCATCGGGACATTAATGCATCTTCCCCCCCTTCCGGTGATTTGATAACAAGAATTTTCTATTCGCATTTTTGGACTACATCTAGATTACTTTTTGTCTCCGTTTTTCGCACCTCTGGACTACTTTTCCTCTACTCACTCATATTTGTGGACTACTTCTAGACACCTTTTTGTCTCTATTTTTCGCACTTTTAAACTACTTATTTCTCACTCAAACAGCTTTTTAATGTGCCGTTTCACACGAGTCTCGTAAAATAAGTCAGAATAAGTTGGAATAAGTTGGGAATAAGTTGAATTTGAGGAGAGAGATCTACTGAAAAAAGTTGCTCTTACTTTTGTCGCCTTTACACGACTTCCTACTGAATCGTGCGAAAAAGTTGGATATAAGTGGGTAAGAAGTGAACTCATGATTTACTGATGTATATCAAGTACATGAGCACCCGCGGGGGTATAGTCAAGTGAATATAATACCCTTTTATCCTCGGCCGCAATATCCACAACAGGGGTCGGTGAGAAGAACATTGCCTAGGGTGCTGCTGAAATGGTGTTGCATCGTGTTCGATGGAAGGAGAGCGTTGGAAGAACGAGGAGAAGCGATTAATGGCTGCACGTGGACGTGACCTCAAGAAGGCGAGAGTACTACTGCCACGACATGCAGAGGGCTGGATATGGATATGGCGTGTTGCGGAGTACTGAGAACATGAGGTTAGCATAAGAGCCGATTGATATGATAACGACCCACATGAACGCGCCCCTGCGTGCAGTCAAAAAACATGTGATTCAAGCATCCTCGAGCTGTCTCATAGTATCAACCTGGAATGTCAGGTTAAGAGCATCGAAGATGTTGAAAAACACGTTACATACCTTCAAAAACGGCTTGTCAGCTACGTCCTATATGAGTTGGAGATTGATGTGCTCTATCATTAAAGAGCCATGAGATGATGCACGCTTTCGATTCATCTTTTGGTAGCTAAGAAAGAACACCGTCAGTATAGAGACTGGGCGATGTATTTAGATTCACATTAGACAATAGGTCATCGAGATCAATTTCTCTTAGTATGACATGGATGTCCCACAAGTGCGCATTGTGGTCATTGCGACCCATTACTAGCAGCTTTCCATCAGCGGAAAGAGTTACACAATACACGCCAGCTTCGTGGCGAAGGGGTTCACAGGTAGATTTGTATCGAGATTCCACAAATGCACTGTTCGATCGAGCAGCAAGCTAGCAGAAGGTCATTGTCACCTTGCTTGCAAGGTCATATGGCATGCGACAATGTGTGTGGGATTTTCTGCCAATAATAAACAATAATAGATATCAATAAACTGTATACGGCTTTGTTTCTACAATCACAATCCAGTACCATCTACTATGTCGCAAAAGCTCAATTCTGCGCTTGACAACTTAACCATGAAGCAAATCATAGCTGCTACGGGAGACGACAATCTGAATCGAGCAGAAAAACGCAAACGCAGTGACTTAGTGGCTAGTGTGCAGCGCTTTCCAGATGCTCATTCGTGCATCATGACTGCAGCAGATAGTAAGGCTACACATATCGAAGAAACTAGTCACTCTTTGTCTACTCAATTCCAAAACGCATTCCAACAGCTCACTGTGAAGGAAATCCAGTCTGCTATTCTAGCGAAAGGAACGGGATTTATCGGAAAAGCCTGTGGAGTCCGTTGTCCTGCGCTATGGCACCACATTGAAGAAAAGCACATGCGATTGTCAGTAGACTGGAATTTCAACGACTCCGTTACCAAGATATTTCACAACGTGGATATTGAGTGGAGATTGAATACGCACTACTATGCGTAGCAGTAAAGTAATCACATTCAACAGCATTTCGTGCATCTGTTCAAAGCATTGTTTTACGGCGCGGGGTGCCACAGGCCTTTTCTAGTACCGGTGCCAGCTCGTGATGGAGTACTTGGAGATCCTACGCTGGACGACCTATACATCAGTTACTGGGTGAGACAGCACGACCCAGACGACTGTACAGCATCGCGACAACACCTGCGACACACTTTCACAACAGTGCCAAACACTGATATAACGCTGACATGCAAGTACACGGTGTTCGTCGAAAATCCAAGATTACTGATGCCAAGAAACCATGTCCTGGCGCGGATGGCAAGCATGAGTGGTAACCAAGAAACTATTAGTGGTAGTGTCTTGATCGTGAAACAAACACAATCCGTCGAAAACACAATAACCGACGTAACCAAAGCTGAGATGATATTGATCAATTTCCTGCTAAACAGGTTAGCTGGTTGTATACATGCATATAAATTCGCAACTAACGCCGAACAGTATCAATTACTGACAAACATGTAGCACAACGTAGCACTGTACGAAGCAATACAAGAGAATATAGCAGCTGCGTGTATCTGCGTGTATCTGCTTAGTAAGAGTGCAGACAAGCAAGGTTAAATTCGGCAACGCCGAACCCTAGTAAGACAAGGAGATGCGGGTGATTAGTGGTGCGAGGAATACAAAAAAATTTGTACATGCGTTGGCGCGGCCTTTGCACCACGTGCTGCGCTCACTCCTAAACTAAATCTGGCACTTTGCCCCTCGCACGTCCCTAGCCTGAGGCCTGCCAAGGTCCCCTGAATGCCGCCAAAACTGTCTCCCGGCCATCTGACACCGCAGCCAAGTACCTTTCATGCCTCAGGCATAGTGAGTGGCGGCGCCTCATGATCACTAGGTTTGACTGCAGACCCTGACTCAATCACGTTACGCCTGAGCCCTGGGCCTAATTTAAAACTAAATATTGTTATGAGCCTTAGACTTGATTACGGTGCATGGGACGGCGAAAGTCTGCCACGAGACCGTCTCCCCCATTGGTGTATGTTCACAAATTTTGTCATGACCACTACAAAATCTAGTACTAATATCTGAGCCTCACTGGTTTACTGATGGGCCCACTCAACCACTAGTACTTATAATAGTGTTTATAGTACCCATTAATCATTAATAAAGATTTACTAACCAGCGTTTCTACATACTACTTGCGCATCATTGTCGTCGCGCCGATCCCAGGTCTAGCGTGTACCTTCCCTCACCCGAATTCCAAACTTCTAACAAAGAGATGTCGATGGTGATCATGCTCAAGGTGCTTCAGTTGTCTTTCCCTTGCTGATGTTGAACTTGCCCACTTTTTTTGTCTTTTGTGTGGCACCGGCGCGTGTTCGCAAATATTTGGTAAGTAGCTTGTGAAAGTCACGGCACAAGTGAAAATAAATCTCCATTTTTGTATTTAGCAATGTGCAATGTGCAATGTCTCCGCGACAGCCCTGCCTGCTCTAGGATCTGTATACATTGGGCCACCGTGGCATCGGATTCACTGCCTTCGAATTCTCTACGTCAGGGCTTCGAGATATTTATTTATGAGACGCACTCTCGTGAGGATACGCATGCTAACCACTGAGGTTTTATCCCAGGAGCCCTGAGGCTGCTGCAGTCATGTCCGACATAATATTGCAAAACTCGTTCTACTTTAGCAATGTTTCCAACTCCATTCTATACGGTAAGCACTCTGTCTGACCATGGAGATGTTGTTATTCCTGACTTGATAATCTACAGGTGTGGTCTTGATGCTGTATCTCAGCACCATGCAAGCATACCTCGAAAAACGATTAGAACGCAGGCCCTCCGACAAGTTCTACATGGTCTTCAGTACTATATTAGTCTTCCTTATCACGATCTTCGTGACCACACGATTAGTTTCGGGACAGGAGATGTGGATTAATCATCCAGGCTATCCTGGTGGAGCGTCCGCATACTTTAATGCCAACATGTCAGCGTGGTATCTGACGATGAGTGCGGTGGCGTCCACCCTGCTGCAGTTGATAACTGATGGTCTACTCGTGAGTGTACTCTCTATTTCGTCTCGGAAAGAGTGTACTGATACTAAATCAGATTATGCGATGTTTCACGGTCTGGCATAGAAGTTACAGCGTGGTTTTCGTCCCCTGTTGCCTCTGGTTATCATCTCTCGGTTCGTTAGTCCTCTTCTTCTCTTGCAGCTACTCAGTCGATCAACAGTGGTAGGGATTTTAAACCTCATCACTGCTGCCTCCCCGAATAACAATTTCTATGAGGGGCTGAAAGCACATGTTGGATTGGTGTATATCTGCTTGACCATTGGCCTCAACGTCCTTGCTACCTGTCTCATCTGTGGCCGCATAATCTTTTGTGCAAGGCGCATGCGACATCATTTTGGTAGCGAAGCTTCGAGGGATTACTTCACTATAGTGGCCATTGTTGTCGAGTCTGCGGTACCATACACATTATTTGGGATCGCATTTCTCGTGTCATTCGGCCTTGTCAGCTATTCCTCAATTATCTTCCTCTCGTTGTATGGCATGTTTACTGTGAGTGGTGACAGCTTCCATGTCCAAAATTCTGTTGCTAATTCGTTTTTAGTGTATTTCCCCTCAAATGCTGATTCTTCGCGTTGTGAGGCGAAGGGCGTGGAGTGCCGAGGTAGCAGAGTCAACGGCTCTGGCTTTCGCTACTCAGTCGACTGCAGCCCCTTGTACCGCATCCACTAGTAGCTCAACGGTTTAATTCCAAGAATTTTTGTGCTGAAGTCCTGCAAGGCAGTCCATGAGGGATAGGAACCTGTCTTTTATTCTTATCTTCGCCAAGATAAGATTGCGCCCAAACTGTGCCAACGGATCTCAAAAGATGAGAGAACCTATAATATATTATAGAGAAGACGGATATTATTACTGAGGGAAAAAAGACTCGTTGCCTCACTGCTGCTCAGTGCTGATCAGCCCCCTAGCTCGATCAAATGTTGACCAGATCCACGGGACAGCGATGAGGATACATGTGGGCAAGAAATCGTTCTGATGCTCGCGGATACTTCTTGTTGTCACCCCCTGGATCAGTATTTACACGGACCTTGACACATATATCTTGATAGTGATGCATAATTATACACATACTATGCGCCTCCTTGCGGTAGCATGCCTGACGATCTTAATGACTGCGACATCAATCGGCCAAACAGGTAGGTCGGCAGAGCCTCAGATCTGCAGAGGCGAGCACAATTGGTCACGATCAGCGCTTAAATGTTCAGATTTGTGGTTGCCAGAAGTGCTCGATCTCCAGGGGTAAGTACGGAAGAAACGGGTGTCATACGACTACGCGAATCAGCAGGTCAGGCAGCATTGCGACAGGATCCTCCAGTGGAGTGTGAATCTCACACGAACCCTGTAATGCCCAACAGGATTGTCCTGGACCGGATCTGCTTGGTTGGTGATCATCAACTGGACAATGGATTCAATTTATAATAAATGTCCTGTGTGAAATGCTATGTTGCAATACACATTATTCAGTGCAGCGAGCACGGTATGCGACATGCAATATGAGGGATGCACCTAGAAAAATATGCATTGGAGCTTGAAGCTGGCCATGGACGTCCAGTCACGGCGGTCAACTTCTTCTCGAACACGTAGCCACAAACGTAATGAATTAATTAATTATGGGCCATATATAGAGCAACTTCGGCCGGCCGGGGTCTCGGCCCTCGCGGGGTCAGGAGGTATTCCGAATCCGAGTAACCAAGTAGTGTAAGTAACCAAGACAGGTGAGAGCGCTCTTTTTTATTGTTCTGAGTTCATATCTCTGTTACTGGTTTTTTTAACTGATTTTCTGCTAGCAGGAGAGCCTGTGCAAACCTAGAACTGCTGGTGACTTTGAAGTCACTATAAAACGTTGGTGGAGTGATACTCCTTCAAGCTGTAATGACATCCGAGAACATGACGAGACTACGCCCACCAAATTTAACAATCCAGTCAAGATCACACTCATTCGACTCCAAGTCGAACGCATTTCTCGATACGTCTTCTGAATCAATATCAGAATCTCCGCTTGCATCGGATGATGAGCTCTTGCAACTATCTTCACCTTCTTCCTCGTCCTCGAGCCCCATAGCCTTAAACATTCCTGATGCAGAAGAGTTATCACGAGACTTGGCGGCACTTGCTCAGCTACGCCAATCTGTACAGAAAAATCTTCGTCTTCGACCAATCCGTTCGTTTAGCAGATTACCAAAGACTGCTGTTCCAAGCGTTGCCGCTATTCCATGGCGCCAAGATCAACACCACCGCCAGCGGCAAGTTGACTCAGATTCTTCTTCTCAAAAAAGTACAAGCAGCACGTATCTTACCCCCGTTGACATCCACTTCCCCAGTCCTCCTGCCTCATCTCCCCCCGAACCTCTAAGCTGTGTCCGGAAGCCTCAGCAACGCTCCGTGTCTATGCCATCCCCCCGCGTTCCCACTTCTGCTATGGATCCTACTGAATTACTCATTCGTCTCGCCTCTCCCACTCGTCCACTCCTCATCGACGCCCGCACTCACGTTGCCTATGCCGCGACTCACCTTTTAGGAAGTATTAATATCGCCATGCCGTCCCTAATTCTTAAGCGCTCAAAACGCACATTACCGACTTTCGCATCACTTCGCCAGTTCATCACCAATGATGAGGGAAAAGAAGTTTTCGATTCCTGGGACATTGACGGAGATGTCGTCATTGTTCATGGAGAAGAGACTGATGAACGGGAGAGAGATAATCCGGGCGTCATTGCATGGGCCCTGCTTTCAGTTCTTGCACGGTTCCTGAACCCGGACAAGGTGTGGTATCTTCGCGGAGGAATTGTAGGTGCTCAACTTCATGCACGACTCCGAAAGTACATCATCAATGCACCCCATTCTCCTCCTTCTCCCTCCCAAGCCTCTTTGCAACTGCCAAAACAACCCAAGAGTGCAAAGGGAAGGGCATTCCTTCAACTCGACACCCACAGCGCTGCTGGGCTCAGTAGCAGCGTGCAGATCGAACGGGAAGATCAAGACCATGGGGGCGAAATGGAAAGACCAGGACACTCACCATTACCAATTATGCCTGGGCTCTCGCTCAGTCTTGACAGCCCTGTGGATTCTGACCCTCCACCTTCCAAACTTGCCTTTCGCCGACCACCTCCCCCACGGAAATCAAATACCCTCAACGCTGACAGTGTCAAGACAAACGAAATCAGTGATGTAGCGAATGATAGTGCGGTGTGCGGGCAGACTCTAGCAAAACCCATCAAACATGCTGTGACAACTCTCCCGCGGCTTCATATTCACACAGCTCCAGCGCGCAGCTCAACGCTCCCTATTACACCTTCACAACAGGTTGTATTCCTTCACCCTCCACCCGCATCCCCGTCGCATCTCACACTTCTCCATTCCAATCACACACCTCCAGCGAGCGCATTTAACTCGAGCTTTAATTTCAATCTTACCAATGGTAGTTGCCTTGGGAATGCGGGTCCATCTCCGCAAATGCCCATGACACCATCTACCGCCAAGCCGACGCCCACAACATCCACACCCAGTGGCACTTCCTCCGATGCTGAAAACGAGCGCGAAGAGTTCGTCATCTCTACGATCCTCCCTAACTTCCTCTTCCTCGGCCCTGAACTCATTTCACCTTCACATGTCTCCGAATTACAATCGCTAGGTGTGAAGCGAATCATTAACATTGCGGCTGAATGCACAGACGATCGTGGGCTAATGCTTCGGGAACGGTTCGAGCGGTATGTGCATATTCCAATGAGGGATTGTGTCGAGGAGGAAGGAGTACGCAAGGGATTGAGTGAGGCCTGTGATGTGCTTGGTAAGTACTTCGCTTTTGTCACAATTCGATGTTTCTATCGGTGGAGAATTGAGTTTTCGATTCAAAGCTTTTCTTGTTTCCATCATACGTTCCTCGATGTACATGGACTAATTCCTGGCGCAGACGAAGCCGCTCTCTACAACGCACCCACATATGTGCACTGTAAAGCCGGCAAATCACGTAGCGTCACCGCAGTGATGGCGTACCTTATCCACAGCCACCACTGGCCGCTAGCACGCGCATACCAGTTCGTGCTAGAGCGCCGCAAAGGTATCAGCCCGAATATCGGGTTTGTAAGCGAACTCATGGCATTTGAGGAAGCAGAGCTCGGGCGTATGACGAAGCCTAAGCCATCTACTGCAGCGAGTGAAAGTAGTGTTGGCGACGTCGGTGTGGGCACAGGCAGGCGACCAGCGCATGTCAGAGAGAGCTTGCCTCCAATGCCTTCATGGGACCGCGAGGAGGAAGAAACAGGAGAGGAAACGGGCCAAGATGTGGAGATAAGGGACCGGGAGGGACGGTATCGACATGCCAGGCGGGCTCCGGTGGATGAGAACACTTTGCAGCCAATGAGACGAGTGAGCAAGGCAGGTCTCGAGAGTGCTGGATCGATACATGGCGATGATAGGGACGAAACGTGATGCCACATGAGAACTAGGTCATACCCTGCTGTTTTGGTGCATTGTCAATGGACCATTCTCTGATCTCTATATATACTCAACGAATTACCTTAGACCCAATGACTTGGCTTACTTTAACAGTCGACTTTGAAATTGTAACGTCGCTGTTGCCTTCATTTTGATAACCCAACCAACTGCGTGAAGCTTTGCGGAAAGCGGTTGCATTGGCAGGCTCGGTGGTGAAGGGGTTCCTCATCGAAGAATCATGTACATAAGTGCAAAAAAACCAGCCATCCAACAACCAGCCCATCAGACCCAAACTCACTCATTATCTAATCGACGCTGCACCTTGGCCCTCTGCATTATACCTGCTGCAAGACATTCACAATGTCCTCAATTGAAGTGTAGCGAGTCAGGACATTATCTAAGAACATGTCAGTAATGACACCAACGTTTCTTGCCAATGCTACACTGGTTAGTTAGAGCCATAGCAAAAGGATGATTGTGCATACACAATTGACGCCTTGATCTTAAGACTGATGTCTACTTGCTGACCCATCATTGCAACCTTAATGATGCTTCCGCTGCTATGTATTTGTCAACGTTGGTGGTTGTGACATGGACCCGTTGTTGTACAGGAAAAACTACATGTCCCTGCGAGCGTATTTGAAAAATCTTCACTGAAATGATTTCACCAAGCAGCTGCATTGGGTACACCAACCCGTCTTCATTGACGCCAACAACACCCACGCACAGCACCAATTCGGGAAATGAGCACGAAGGGTATATTGTATCTAACTATTCTTCTCAACTAAACCAAATGTACCGGTCCTAATCCGAGTGTTCATGCAGAGTCCAACAAGAGCTTGTTGAATTTGGTAAAACTCACATTAGATATAGCCGCTGGTCATAGATTTCCGTACACGACCTCCCCATCGATGACAGTTGCTGTCACTTTGGCACTCAAGATATCCTCGATAGGCACCGTCATGATATCACGGTCCAGAATGACGAAATCAGCTTTCTTCCCGATTGAAAGCGAACCGAGAATATCTTCAGAGAAAGACGCATATGCAGCATCGAGTGTCATGCCTTTGAGCGCTTCAGCGCGCGTGAGGCGCTCGGATGGGTACCTAGAAAAAGAGGGTAGTCAATGACTTTTGAATCAGCACATTTGAAAGTATGCCAGAATCTCACCATCCTCCAGGACCATGAGGCGAGTCGCCTGTTACAGAGAGGCGTGAAACAGCAGCATAGAAACCAAGAAGGGGGTTGATGCCCTCGACAGGGAAGTCAGAGCCAAGGGGTAAGACTCTGGTTGGAGATGCGCTGTGGGGTATCAGTACCTCAATACAAGGGCAAGAAGATAAAGTAACTTACTTGAGTAGAGCTCGATATGCATACGCGCCTTTGATTCTCTTTGGACCCTATAGGCACCCAGTTTGATGTATTCTAGATAGACGAAAAGAGGGAACTTACCAACCGATCTTCGGCATACCACATATCGCTTGTCCTGTAAGACAAGATATGTCAGTCAGACGGTTGGCAAGGCCTATCGACGGACTCACGCATGGGTCGGTTGCACACTAGGTATCACTGGAATCCTATACCATCGACAACGTGAACGCAAAGTAAGAATCGGGCCTCTTACCACCTAACTTTCCAATTCGTTTGATATCATCTAGTGTCAAGATTTGTGCATGCTCAATACGAGGTCGCAAGGCGTCTACGGAAAACGAAGCGTTGGCGAGTATATCATCATAAATGTCAAGTACGACACGATTTGCCCGGTCCCCGATACAGTGGATATTCTGGGGTAAGGGGTCAAATAGTTGAGCTAGTGCAAGGATGAAAAAAGATCACGAATATCGGGCACTTACAATTTGCCAACCATCGATCGAAAACTCCTTTACCAGCTTTGCCAGCGCTTCCGGGCGCACCCGCATGATGCCGCTTGTTGATGGATTATCACTATACTAAAATCTCTGATATAAGCACGTTCATGCTTGAACGGCAACACGAGTAGGTGCTCACGGGCTCAAGCAGTGCAGCGCCGAATGAACCAAGCGCACCTATTTATTGAAGATGAATATAAACACCAAACATCAACTCGAAACAGAACCGACCATCTGCGAAAAGTTTGACACTGCGCACTGTCAATCGTCCACCAAATCCATGCTGGATCAGTCTTGGAATCTGGCTTCCCCAGTAATCATCAGAGTTCACACTGCCCATGAGATAAAGCCGGAGCTGGGTACGTGTGTCAGTAAACTGCTACGTTCAAGTAAACAAAGAACTGACAGGTAGCTTTTGAGTCTCTGAAAGTCTGGAAATAATTAATTCAGAATTTTTGGGAAAGCATGGGCCGCGTACTTCCTGTAGAAGTGTATTTCTTCTGGGACAGAAAATGCGTCGTGCACACTAGTCAGACCCACCGCGAGTGCGTCACTAGTAGCACGGGTGAAGTACTCTATCGCGCGGGTCTCGCTGAAGGGTTGTGAGGGAATGAGAGACATAGCATTATCGACGAATATTCCTGTGATTCCATATAGGTTTCAGACAAAGAGGTACTACCTCAAGAACAAAACTTCTGAGGAAGAGAAACAGACCGGTGGGTTTTCCGTGCTTGTCACGAATAATTAGCCCGCCATCGATATCCTCCTTAGGGAGAGGTGCCATGAGCTGCAGCACACGGTTGGATACCCAGGAGGCGTGAGCATCAATACGGGCCAGAGATATCCGTCGACCGCGAAGAAGTGGTTCCCTGTCAAAGTCGTTCTTTGGTGTTGTGAGGGGATGTGAAGAGAAAGCAAATAAAGATACATACAGCATGAGGATATTGCGCTCCAGGCCATTTATTCTGGTCCCATCCCATGCCCTCTATCCATCGAGTGGGATCGCCCAGAATGTCAGGATGTGCTATAACATAAGCTTTCAAGTGGCTCAAGACATCTTTCATGTCGCATCAGTAAATTGACGATAGACTACAAAAGTCAGTTGAAGCAAACCATCCACAGAGGTACAGTCTTCCAAGTTGAGATTCATCTTAAAACCATAATGCAACATATGAGCATGGGCATCTTCAAGGGTCAAGAGTGAGGCCTCGAAATTTGATTCAAGTTGATGCTTCGTACCAGTCAGGCCGGGAACTACAATACTGTCAGGTGGGATGTTTATCACTCTCAGAGATGGCTCGAGAAAATTGAATGGCCAAGGTAAGTGAATGACGCTTGCCAGTGGGATCTCTGACCACCATCGATCCCGCCAGCGTAAAGTTATGTCCTCTGTCACAAGCGCAGCGCGTGAGTTGGATGCATAAACAAGGCCACGTTGATTCGCGCGTACCTAGATCACCTGTGTCTGAAATGAGGGTATCATGTACGAAGATGCATTGAACATTGGGAAGATCTGAGTCGACTGTGTAGATTGTGCGGTTGACAGAACAGACTGCATAATCTAAAGAATGGGTCTCAGGTTTGAACCAAGTCAAGGTCCCTCCTGCAGCTCCCAGCGCAACCAACAGTGCGAGGGGCCACGATCTAGCCCACCAGCTTCGATTCTGAGGTGAATTGGTACTACTACTAGTACTCTGCCCACTGGGGCTTGCCGGCTTGACCGGGGGTGAAGAAGAACCCATGTCGTACGAGAAAAAGCGAGTTGGGATCCATGAGGGTATACACATAATATTATATATACAATTGTGTACGTCATGCACTTTGCCAATTGCCATCCTTGGGACTTTTTTCACTCTAAAGCAACTTCTCAGCTGCGCTTATTACTAGTATAAATTGCGCTGATCATGCTTGAAGCTTGAAGCTTGAAGATATACTGCAATGTAATGCCACTTTGGATGGAATCCAAGTACTCTATTCACGTTGGCACGGCGACATCACTGGCTGCAAATTATTGACGACCACCTTTTACTGTGGCAAGCAGCGGCTAGGAGACTATATGCACTGCCCACTGCACGACGACAGTAAATCCTAACACTAGAAGCAGTGTTTCTTTGTAGAAGGTCGCCCAGGATGAGGAAAAACATTTTTAGTCACAGCTTTATCCGTTGCGTTACGTGCGTACTGCATAGGGCAAATTGTGCTGATCGTCGGGTCACCAGTCTACGTGCAACGACTGGAGGACTTTGGCGCGAATGCGCTTGTCTGACAATACCGAGGACGAAACGGTTGGTCCCGCGGAGGCATTTCCGTGACTCCCATGTGCGCGCTCCACCTGCATTCCACTGCTCCTGTCAGTCTGCGCGCCGTACACTCATCTCCGTGTTTGAGCTCCACCCTTTGCGATGCGGAAAATGGAACCGCTTCAAGTTACTGGGACGGATCGGTGACGGAATAACGTTGGTAGTGGATGAATCTGTTTATCATTCTTCGTCTGAGTTTGAGCAAACTTACCCTTCAAGATATGCTACTCGTTGTCTCCATCTCTACATCGGAAGGTAAACGAATTGCTTGCTTATGTACTTGGAAGTAGTATGACACAGGTGAAGCGCCGGAATGTACGTTATATTATGGTGTGTAAAGTCTGTGTATATAGGCCGAACTCAAGGAAGCTTGCCATTCAGACTCATCTGGCTGGCCTTGCCTGCGCACTACGCATCGGCTAACGCTTGTCATCGAAGCTTGACCCCTCAGCTTTGAGTTCAGCATGGCCTATCTTTTCTAACTTCCCATCGAAATCGCGCTTCCGATATCCTGACACAATACGTTCGAGCAGTTCCGAAGTAGATACGCCCGGTGTACGTCGGGTAGGAATAAATTTACCTGAATGTGTCAGACTTTTGAAGAAGTAGGGGGAAAAGAAAGGGAACAGACCTAGTGCCTTTACAAATGCGTAGACATCATCATGACCGCCCGACACGTACGGGAGTTCGTCATGAGCAACGTAGTCGATATTCCACTTATCGATGAAAGCTTGGTCCAGAACCCACGGGCAGTCGGGAATGACCTCATCGACCCAGCGACAGTGCCGCACAGCCTCACAGCTATATCAGTGTGATTAAGTATTCAGTTGTGGAGAACTGGCGCATCATACCGCTCAGCATGTGTCATCACACAGCGTGCTTTATTGGTGACGACGTCCTCATCGGAATTAACACCAACGAGTAAATGCACAGATGGAAAAGATAACTTGGCTTGCCGTAATTGCAGGGCATGACTGGCTCAAAGATCAATATCCTTACACAAAAAGGGAGGGACGAATATACCCAAAGTGAAAGAGATCATATACTCCTAATACGAATTAGCACAAAGTCTGTCAAAATCGAATTGACACTTACCATCTGCAAAAACTCT